TTGTAAAGCACACCGCAAAGAATACAAATTTGGTTATACAGTTATCTTTTTCTCAACTAAGGCTACAAAAAGACACATTTTTCTTTGGGAAGGTTTAGACTTTGTTTTAGCTTGTCTTTGTGGATGTGTGAGCTGCTGCCAGTTCCTGTTGCTCCCGTTTCCTCTGCAGGATGAAAGGTTTAATGTTCAGGCTCTTTAACACTCAGCCAGGCCACAAAGCAGCCCTGCAAGAAGAGAGAAGAAGGAGAGACGGGGAGAAAACAGGAGAGAGGGGAGATGGAGAAGGAATTGGGTTGACAATACAGAAAGAGGTGGTACACGCAGATGCATAGAATAGATGCCGGTCTGTAAAGACTTGAAAATGTGCAGAAAGATGTGGGTTCAACACCCAAATCACAACAAAATGTTTTCTCATTTACTTTTAGTGTCATTTGGAAACGAATCACAGGGAGCTCTTTAAGTTATCCAGTGAACTGGGACACCATTGCTGGAAATACAGTACATCTTACTGAATTTTGTAAATTGTCCCATCTCAGTGCTGCGAGCACACAGAAATTCTATTCATTTTCATTGTTGTGGGCTGGAAGCAATCTAAAGGAGGCAGATCTCAGCCTCAAAATATGGAAAAGTTTAAAACAAAACCGTGCGACAATCTGCATGTCGCTTTTGTAGTTGGAGTGAACTGACCCGTTAAGTGAAATGGCCGATGCTTTTCTGATATAATTCAAACCTCTTTTACTGCCAAACGTCTTGTGGGATGCTGTAAATTGTCAGTGACTTATGAATCTGTGTTAGCTCCTCCTATTTGTATGCATTACCTGAACATACTGTGTATGAAAAATAACCTTCCCATTAAGAAATTACTTTGGAAAAATATAATGAAAAATTCAAAACAAGCTGTATTTGCCTCAGTGTTGCGCTACCTGTGTGTGTTTGAGTAATGTCACCTATATGTTAAAGTAAGTAGAATTAAACTGTTCCATCTGTACGGGACTATCACTCTGTTAAGTAGAATATGTAAGCCTTCATGGCGATGACAGGGATAATGGTTATGACTCTTCCAACAGACTTAGCTAATAGCTTCTGCTCCATTACCATTATGGATGTCAGACCACTTGTGTCTCTGATATATTACAGTCAACTGTGCCTTTTTTCTGCTCTGTGTATACAGTAAATGCATGCACCTATTTCTATAATGTTGGATTAATATAGGGCATAAGGCGCAGATCGTTTGGATGTTGGATAGCTCTTTATCTCGGGTATATCAGTGTGAATAATGTGTGTGTGAGGGGTTGGGGGGAGTCACAGGATAGGGGTGGTGTTTGGGGGGGGGGTTGAGAAATGATCTCACACAGAGATGCTCCATAAATCCCTCTCATCATTGTTTCCCTACTTGGTGTGCAGTCTTGCTCCATAAAGGGGCAAAGCCAAGGGTGCTCTAAATGTCAGGGGAGCGGCGCGCTGATGAATTACCTTTTAAAGATATCAGAGAGAGGTGCGTTTCACGTGAAAAATGAGCCCAACTCGGAGCACTCGGAGGCCCTGTCCGACTGAGCATATCACCCCCCCCCCCCCCGGGGAAATTTGTCTTTTTATCAACTGTCCAGAGAAGTCACAGCGTATTCTAAATGAATAAATCAAAGAGAATTAGTTTGCTCTGTTCTCTTATCTCTGATGTGCCCGTTTTTCTGTGGAGATCACCTGCAGACGTGTGTGTGTGTGTGTGTGTGTGTGTGTGTGTGTGTGTGTGTGTGTGTGTGTGTGTGCGTGCGTGCGTGCGTGCGTGCGTGCGTGCGTGCGTGCGTGCGTGCGTGCGTGCGTGCGTGTTTGCAGGGCTGGCCTGACAGAGGTGACCCACAGGTGATCTACATGTGACTAGTTTAGTGTTAGCTGGCATCACAAGCCCACATACACTTTGGTCTGTCTTATTAACCCTAGATTGAAAGTAGATATATCATGAACACACAAATAGTCTGAAAACTTACTGCAGCTTGTGTGAGTGTATGTGTGAGAGTGTGCATGTGTGTGTGCGTGTGAAACCCTAGGCAGCAATGCAGCTGCTAATCCTTGCATAGCCACAGTTCAGTTGATGCCTTGATGTTAGTCAAGGTAGCTGAAGTGGTGCTAGTTTGAAACAGAGGTGGCAGGATGTCAGTTTGCCCTTGGCCTGTCTGGGACAGCTATCATTACAGACCCGGTGCCTCTGCTGATAAGAGCACCCGGGACTTCACAGCACACCGGCTGCCGCCGCAGCAACCTGCTGTGATAGCTCATGCTTATAGAAACATATTTTACACATTACTCAGATGGCTCTTTGACCATAGAGTATTGGCCAGATGAAATTGAAATGCATGGTTTGGTTCCCTGATTATCTCCACACAAACATCAGTAAAATATTGCCACTGGTCTTGCTGAAATAAATCGGGAGTCATGGGAGCAACTGCGGCAAGTTTGAAAATTCACCAGAATAGCAGAGCTACTGAGAGTCTCAATACTTTCTCTCTCTAGTTCCCTTATTTAGTTCTTCAGACCATCTGGACTGTTGGCAGTTGTAAACTCGGTGTTATGAGAGATAGAACAGACAGATAATCTTTCTAATTCTGGAAGAATGAAATTAAGTTTGTCGCAGAAATGTCCCCGGTACACATTCTTCAGGAATAAGTCCCCTAATAACAACACAACAAACATCTGGCAAAGCATTTGATTGATAAGATTATAAAATGTACTTTTCCAATAAATCAATTAAAGTAATATGGTGAAGTGTCGGCTGTCCTAACTCCAACAACAATGATGAACAACTCTGCACCAGCTAGTTCTTCACTTACAAAGCAAAGGACAAATTTGTCAGATTTGTCATTTGTTACATAACATGAAATCACTTTAAAAAAAAAAATCAATTCTTTGACCTCTACGTCTTTGATTCTGCCATTTTCAATTTAGTAGTTTAAAGTGAAATTTATTTTCAGGTTTTTTTTCTCTCTCTCTCTCTTCCCCTCATGAGCGAGAAATTGCCTTTTCGGGCTGTGAAAGCAGCCACTCATTCGTGTTAATTTCTCTGTTGCTTTCCATCAATCGTCCTCCCCCTCTCTCTGGGTTTTTAATGTTTATCCCCATCTGTAGGGCTGCCTCTATCCTCCTTCATTCTTCCTTTGTGTATACGTCTATGAATTTTGAGAAAAACATGTTGAGGAGCTCCCCTTGGTGATGGCAGCAATTTGGCTTTCATATATTCCTATCCTCCAGACACTGCTTAGTGCTGCTGTAGTGTGTGTGTGTGTGTGTGTGTGCGTGTGTGTGTGCGCGCGCATTTGGTTTACAGAATGCTAAAGAGTAACGAAACTCGGCTTTCTTTTACCTGCATTTTTGGGGAGAGTTTGACAAAATGAAGGTGAGCATTCAGCTAAAAATATATTTTTTTTAGGCAATGCCATGTGATTGTGATTATTCAAAGACTTTCAGCCTACAATAAAGGAGGTAAGCAGTGACTGGGGGACAGTCCTGGCTTATTTCATACCTCTAAACTGACAGCTCGTCAAACACTGAGCAGTAATTTAAAAGTATGGGGAAAGTGGATAATGATCGTTTATTTGTGTAAAATTCAATCCAGGGGTTTAACAAAGCTGGACTTGTCGGTTCAGAGGCTTGTCTAGTTTTGGTTGGCTGAGTAATTAAATCAGAGAAGCTAGTGAAGTTCTCCTCAGCTCAGTGCCTCGTCTCGTTTCCTCTTTAATCAGGCGGCTATTAAACCTCTGATTACACGTCCCATCTTCTGACTTCAGCTTAGTTATTAAACACAGACTGAAAGCATGTTTGGTTTGTGTGTGTGTCTGTGTGTGGGTGTGTTACAGGAAGATAAAGAAAGACAGTGTAAATACAATATAAGTAATAAGAGTCTGAGGTAGAGAGGAAACAAGACTCACGTTGATGGGGTCGTAGTGTTCTTCCACCACAACCTGCAGCGTGTTATTCCACTTCTTGTTGACTAGATGATGAATACTTCTCTTCACAACCATAAATCAATTTCACAGAGTACCATTGACCTGTGAGATATATCTGTGACTTCACGTTTCAACTCAAAACACACATGTTGATGCGTTGAGGCACGCATGCACAACCTTTTTTTCTTTTTTATCACCACGTAAGCCTCTTACATCCTCCTAACTCGAACACACATTCATGGACATAGTTTATATTTCTTTGCCATCAAGAATTCTGAAGTGGCTTCTGTCTCCACATGCTGCAAGTGACATATGACCTCCTCCAAGGTCCTCTCAGATTCCTCCTCCTGCAGTCCTCAGAGATCACCCAGATTAGACTGATGCCCGGCCACCGTCGGCCGAGCTGCCTGCATACATCCATTCTTATGTACTCAACTTACTGCTGCTGGCACGGGCAAGGTTGTTCAGCAAGGAGAGTTGACCTTTGGGTTACTAACAGAGAAAACCTGGTGTTTTGCACTTTATTTAGGGCTCATTGTTGGAGTTTTTTATTCTAAAAATCTGAGAATGTATTTGTGTTTATTATGATTATTGAAAAACAGGTGCAAAAGAATCAATAATACAAAACTGGGTTTAAATCCGATTATAAAACCTATTTTTAGACCCTGAAGTTTAAGCATTTATTGCTTTTTTTATATTTTCTTTGAGGGACTATGACAGATATTCAGCAACTAATTTACATTTCTTCTCTTTTTTCACTTTTTATAACCAGAAGCATATTCTGAGTTGTGCTCATTTCAAGAGGACCTTGTGTTTTTCTGAAAACTGGGGTTTATAGTGTAGCAGGAGTCACAAAGAGAACGTTTGGATGCAGGGGCACATTAAAGTCTGAGTGAAAGACTGTTTAGACTTTATCATCTCCTTTTGAAAAGTATGAGTATTGAGTATTTTTCTGTGTAAACTGATCAACCAGAAAGCAACGAGTCTTAACTATTTTTGCCAATTCACTATTGAGTGAGTAAGTCTTATTGTGTGTGTTTATCTGTGTGTGTGTTTCTACAGCCCCCGTCATACTAAACGAGTTAAACTGGACCCAGGCGCTGGAGAGGGTCTTCATTGAAAACCGTAAGGAGGACGGCTCTCTGCGCTGGCAGGTGTTTGGCAGTGCCACAGGAGTGACTCGATATTACCCAGGTAGGCCGCAGGTTACGGAGTCGACTGTCTGCCTTATAACTCACACCAAGATAAAATCTAAATTGACCCTTGGGCTCCTCGGCTGCAGAACATTGGCAATCACTTATCAGATGGCTATACTGGTAACTCCATAGACAGAATGAAATTATGATTACTTTGATCTAATCTGATGTGAAATATCCTACAGTGCACTGTATGGCTTATAACTTATTCTCTTACTCTCTCCAGCCACTCCATGGAGGGCTCCCAACAAGATTGACCTGTACGATGTCCGCAGAAGACCTTGGTAAGTGCCATCTTTATCAGCATCAAGGATCATGATCAGCATGGTTTCATTTATTTTCTTCCACTATTGATGTCTGTTCGAAATTTTAGGAAGAATGCCAAAACATCCATTATCCTCTTCATGTCAAACATTGTTTTCGGAGGTATTTATATCCTAAATCGGCACATTTGGACTGGGGCGTTATTGGTGATAGAAAGAATGACACTGGTAGGGATGTACAGTACTTCACCAAAAACGAAATAGCTCAGGCCAGCTTTTAGTCAAATATAAGAGGTAGAGCTGCTAACTCACTAGATTTACGCATGCAATTTAAGTTTGACTTCAGTACAGTAGCATCAACAGATATAAAGTACCATAACAGTTTTCACTCATAATGACTAAATCAGCTGTCGATGGGTTAAATTCTGATATAAGTTTGCCATATTTCAAATAATATACATCTCAATTTGCTGCATTGTCCCAGTCCAGATGAGTGTTTGGAAGGTGTGAGTTTTTGGCACGAGGTGAGCCCAGTTGAGTGTTGAGAGTAAAAGCGATTGTCCGGCTCAGAGCGGACAGCCTTTAACCAATACAAAGAGCAGCAGAGTAAAAGTGCAGAAAATTGCAGAATTTAAACTTGTCATTGCAACGTCTGTGCTGTCAGCAGCAGCAGCGTCATGCTGTCTTAAAATTCTGACACACTGTTGGTGATCTGATGTGAACACTAAACTGAAATGCTCTCTACAACAGTAACGAAATGTAAGCATCAATTTAATTCAATTGCTTCTGATGATGCCTTTATAGAAAACAAGTTTTTAATATTTTGTGATATATTGTTCTAAACGGGCTGCTTCAGGCATATTTGCACTCGATGTCTTTGTACTTAATGTACTTAACCACATGCACAAAAAAGGCTTCTACTTTTAAATGCAGCCTTATAATAGGATTCCTGTACACTGCTTTGTCTCTGGCTCTTGTAGACGTCCTCGGCTCCTTCTAGCCCGCAGCTAAATAATGGATATTGTTTAGTGGAATGAGATCAAAACGTTTTACTGACCTGTATTTATCTCAGTAAGTGAGAATGTTGTTCCATTGTCTTTTGCTACAAGGACAGAGCAAGATAGAGGCTAATGTTTTTGTTTTTAGTGCCCACCTTTGCCTGTGGTTCTCTGTGTTACATCCGAACCCTGTACAGAGTGCCGGGGCGGGCAGTGTGACGGGCTGGACAGAACTAGGCTGCGTTTGGCCAAACAGCCCCCTCACCCACCAACCCAAGCTTCCTGTCCACCATTCCACTTTCAATCTACCTGCCACTGTCACATTGACTTTGTGGCAGTCCTGGCTGTTGCCTCGTTACAGGTTGGAGTGAACTGGACATAATCATGACAGCAATGTTGATTAGACCTGACCCCGTTTTCTATCTCTGTCTGGATCCAGTTCAACCTGAGTGGCTGTTTGAGGTCAGCTCGGGCTGTCGGATGAAGTCAGCTCGCTCAGACTCAACAAACAAAAGACAAGCAAAAGAAGCTTTTACATTCTTATGAAGTTTGCATGAAACTCAAGATCCAAAATGTAGCCACGTCTGAAAGAGAATGAATCTGTTCATCTTTAGAATTATATTGAATGTAACTTCAGTTGCTCATTTTATGTGGGGTTTAAAGGCTCAGTTTATTCATCCGTAAAAACGGCGATATTACGGTGCTCCAACCCTAATCAATCGGTCAGTCCGTCACCTCACAGTCTCGTATAAGACATTTCATACAATCTTTCCAAAACAAAACTAAATTCACCCAAACTGTCTGCCCGCATATCAGTGGTACGTGGTACGTACTGTTACTCAGCAGTGTGTGTACTGGTAGCTCCGTTTGCCGCTAGCCAAACACACCATCCAGAACAATACAAATGTGCAAACTTGTGTCTCTGGGCACATAGTAGTGGATGGGAAGTCGGCGATGCAATCAGCTGTGTTATCACTAGCGTCCCCTACCGTCTAGTGGTCGTTAAACAGTGGCGAGTCAGCAGGCAGTCAATGGCAGTACAAAACAGGCAATAAAAGGTGTTTTAAGAAAGGTTGTGTCACCGCAAACACAAAGTTATTGAGCAGGCAGCCATATTTGGCCACCAAAGTATTATGCAATTTACTGCAGCAGAATGTGAGATCAGCCGTGGATAGACACAGAGGTGTGTGCACGCACGCACACACGTAACTGATCGCATGATCCTCCTTGTGGAGATAAAGAACAATGAACAAGGATTCAACGGAATGGAAATCAGTTTACAACCTCCTTCCTGTACAAATTTGTGTTTGTGTTGTAAAAAAAAAACGAGAATAAGCATCAGTAGAGTCAATAATATGTTAACCATTTACTGTAAATTGCAGATATATTTAGACTAAAGAATTTAATCAATCTATGAGTTTTGAAGTGATGGCAAGTTATTATTGCGACAACATTATTTGTTTGCCTTTCAGCAAAAAAATGAAAAGAGATGGCGTATTACCACAGTGTATCTGCATTCATCAGATCTCTGACAATTTAATTAAGCTATCACCAAAAGTCTCCCTAGTGCCTGTGTAAACATAAAAAAATGCGGTAAAACACAAGGCACTTTGCAGCAGGATAAGTTTAAACAAGGATCCTGTCTCTGATCTGACAGCGCTACAACCAGAGTACACCCGAGTTTAATTCTCTTACACATGTTTTGACCGGGGGACTCCTCTCTGAGACGGGGAGGAACAAGCAAAGAGAACGACGAGGGAGACTGCTGAGCGGCGGCAGCGCATTTGACAGAGGAAGAGGTGTACTATTGCAGGAACACAATAGTGTCCCCCCCCCCCCCCCCGGTCTTCCATGTTCGAGCTTTTGCTCATCTGGGAGCCTCCGACATTGCTGTGGCCCGTTGCTAAGCAACTTGTGCCCAGCCGCGCTGAGTGGCGGGGCCGTGGCAGGGAGTGTCACGATATGTCAGGTCAGACTTGTGTTATTATAGTCTAACACGCTGTCTCCCCGACTGACACTCTGTGGAGAGATCGTCCAATCACACGCGTTACAAAAACAGTCCACAGGGGTTAGGTAAGCCCGTCATGGGTGCTTATGTGACAGCAATAGATAGCAGCGTCCGTCACAAGACCAGCAACGCAAACAACAACACGAGCATTTATACAGGTCGTACGGATGCTTAGATGAACACAACTCATGAACTTGGGTGTTGAAGTCAAACTGACTTTTGAAATCTCCTCACTTTTCCGTGTAAGGAAATAAATCAGCTTTGGACATGTTTAAAAAAAACAAACATTTAAACTTCAAGCGTCTGGGCAGGTTTTTCACGTTAACAGATGAGTGACATCTGAGAGCCGGCATCGCTTCAAGACGCACTGTCAACTTGTTTGGGTGTGTGACCGAAGCCCGTCATATTGAATAGCTTATAAACGTTGATACAAGAGACAAGACAACAGCAATATGGTAAATGCTACAACTTAGTGTAACAGTAACACAAGTACATCAGACTTAAAAAGTCACCATGAGCTAACATTGCTGAGGATGTTGAATTGGGCCAGGCTCGTTTATTTTGTCTGTCCATTTACGACATTCGACATTTGAGAGGTGCCGTCCATCAAGCTGTCAAGTTTGTACTCCACTCGTAAAGTGGAAGCTAACAAGCAAGGCCAACTAGCCTCGAGTTGGAAAGTGAAAGCTGGGCTGCCAACACTAGCGCTGACTTCCACTAAATGTTACTTGTCGTTCATGTCATTTCAACACCTAGTCATCAAAAGCTTTTTTGTTTGCCGTCTCTATTTCATGGGTCCAGGTGCGGCGATGGCTTTAACCAAGCTGTCAAAACTCACTTAAATTCATATGCAGTAAATAATGCACAGGCACAGACAGAACACAATCTGTCTCACACGTCCTCCCATAAACCTAATAGCACTCCTCCCCTCACAAACTCACCAGATCATATGGGCTGGTATGCCAGATTCATACCGGAATTCACAAATACCATGATAGTAACTGTAATACACAGATGCAATCACATGAACATGCTTCAGTAACGTTTACATTGACTATCTGCAGACAGAGTCCCCCTGTCAAAGATGTGATTTACAATGGAAAGTCAAATTAGGGGCCAGAATTCACGGCCAGTTTGTAGCGTAATAGACCTGTAGCTTTCTTGGGACAGATGCATGGCGGCGTGGCTAACCTGGCCAAAGCTGTCCAGGTGCACCTCTGAGGGAAAGGATCAGAGGGCCGCCTGCCTCCACAGATGGGCTCTCTCCCTGTCTGCTCCCCCACCAACAGCCTCAGGAAAATTAATGGTCCAGTCAACACACTTAATTGTCTCCAATTGCTCTGACATTAATTATTAACATTGGTCCATTATAATGTCTGTTCGTGTTATCAAGGGAAGCGAAGCAGAGGGTGAAGTGAGGCAGAGGCAGAGGGAGAAGCAACGGGGCGAGGAGAGAAATAACCAGAGATAGGCATGGAGTCCTGTTAGCCAAGCGTTGCCAAGATCCCATTACCTCCCAGGTTCACAACAGCATGTAGGCTATATCACATACTGATTTCTTCAAAAAGTCAATCTAACCTCTTTGTAAATATTATGACGGCTGTTCAATCCTCGAATCCCGAGAATACCATTCCCTGTATCTCCTTCTTTCAGTCTCTCCCCCCTACTTCAGGGAGAAGCAGGGTCAAAAGAAAGACCAGTGTGTTGCAGGTCAGACTAAAGGGAGACACAAGGCTTTAGCTGTCCCAATAAAATATCTGACATTTCAGTTTGAGCCAAAATGTGAGAGACACAGTTGGGGACTTTTTTTTTTTTATCTCAAAGAGCCACAGTAACAGACAAGTACTTGTCTACTAAGTATATGTGTATATGTGTTCCAATATGCATGACTAATTTAATATTCTGCACTTTATTCCAGAAGTTAAAGTGGTTGAAAAATTGAGCATTACATTTTGTGTGTTCTTTTTAGGCATAACCGAAAATATGGAAATGTGAATCTTGGTACCAACCCTTCCAATAATCAACAGAAAGTGGAATAAATAAACGGCAGACAACATCTCTTTCTCCTGCAGGCTGTCTGAGCGCTGTCCTTCTATATATATATATATATATATATATATATATATATATTTTATTTTTTATTTTTATTTTTTATCTTAATTCAATCTTTATTCGCCTGCCACATCCACAGGAGCGCTAAGAGCAGCAGTCCATAAAATAATAAGCCCATCAGCACAACACAAATCCACACACACATGGGAGCATACACACAAACACACCTACACGCACACATACACACACACACACTTGTATACAGTTATATACAGTCCTCCCATTATTCTGTGGTTACTCTGCTTACATCTCCTGTACATGATGGATGCATATCAGAGCTCATACTGTGGAGAACAGACACAATACAGATGGTACTGTATATACATCTCACTCATTATTTGTATGCTCTGTATAATGAAAATTGTTCCTAACAAAAAAAATATAATGAAACACGACACACACACACACACAACTCCAAACATACAGTAAGCTTTTCCTGCACACTTCCTGTCGCACATTAAAATGAGCCCAAGCCACTCCGTGTATCATGCTCCGTGTATCTATTGCATGTCTGAAATGTATGTAGTAGATAATTCCTCCAATTTAAATGTAATGCGCAACACTTTGTGGAATGGGTCAGGGTGCATAAACACAATCTCCTGAGAGAGTTAGCCCCCCGGCACAGTTAATGTATTGATTTTGCAGCGGTGCGCCATGATAAAACTATTTCATGAATTCCAATGAGACTCCTTTACCAGACTGCTGCAAAAAGGAGCAAAAATACAATCAACACAATGCAGATTATGTCATTGTGGTCGTTGCTTGTCTAATGCATTTCTTTTAGATTGATGGCGGGTGGTGGCGTGTTGTAAGGGTGGGGTGGCTGCAAATGTTGCTGTTTTAATCTCCTCTTATTTGGAGCGAGACCTCCTTCCACCTCAGTGTAAAGAGCACGTCTTCCACTCACACAAGTTATCTTGATTGTGCATATTGTAATGGTATGAACATGTTTATATCGTGACATCCATGATGTACATTATGGCTTTCCAGGTTTTTTTTATGGGCATAAAAGTCGCTGGCGCTGCTGTGGCCAGACCTTCTTTTTTCAATTTATTGGCTTAAGAATATATCAAACAATTAAAAAAAAAAAAAGCATTGGCCACTGAGAAGCTTTGTCATTTGTTTGCTTGATAATTTACTTTAATAATTAATGTCACAGTGCTTTTTTAGGGGTATAACAAAAATGATAAGACCTGATCAGCTGATGAAGATATAAGGTCACTATGTGATTGATTGGTTCATTTAAATGTATAGTGCCAGTTAAAATAATATGAATATGTTATTCCCACATTACAACATGTCATAGTCTCTTTAATATTCAGAAGCATGGCCACTTTGTGTTCTTAGGGGCTTTTAGGTGTTATTGTATTTATTGTGGTTTATGTACTTATATGTACAAAGTAACCACATTTTGTTTGTATGTGTTTCTTCTTTATTGTAGGCAGATGCATTCGCATGGCCAACAAAGTAGCCACTTCTCTACTTGTATTTGAGATGTGAGGTTTCACTTGAATACCTGTACGTGATGCACAGGTATAAACAGGTTGAATTAAATCACATACAGTTGGACTCAGAAGCTTTCACATTAGTTTATCTTTTGTAATGAGTTGCCCACAGAATAAAAGTCATATGTAAATACAATGGTAATGTCTGAAGTAAAGTGCTTTCACTATATAATTCAGCACCAGTGGTTACCAGTAACTTTGAGTGAACGGACAGAGAGGCCATAGGCTGATATGTTGTGTCTGATGGCTGATGGTTGTGTCGTGGTGGAACAGAATGGGCGACGGGGCTCAGTTCAGCACCAGCCAGGCCCATCTGCTTGTCACCTGGCCTTGGCAGGCAGGAGACTGTGTAATGACAGGGAAAGAATGGCATCAGTGGGCAGAAGCTGAGAGGTAATTACTGACTGGAATCCATGCAGAAAAAACACATCTGGATCTATGAGTCAGAATGTGGAGAATTATACACCGATATCGGCCTCAATTCGTGATTCTTATCTGTCAGAACTGTAGAACCGCGTATCAGCCTGGAGACCGAAAATCCTTGACTTCCTCCCGCTCTCTCTGATCCTGATGTTCTCTGCTCAGAGGCAAGGAGAAAATTCAATTGTGCTTTAGGCAATGAAAAAGGGGAGAAAGAGAGCGAGTGCTGATACACCAAGACAATCTGTGGGGAAAATCAGCCATGGCAGCACTATAGCTTCAGTGTTGGGTGACGCTATCATGGCTCATGTGTTACTCCTGTCTACTCCATCACTGCTCACTCGTTCCTCCTAAACCCCATTACTGCTGATCAATGCTGCCTCTTTCACAGTTGGAGAGAAATGATCTTCTTGAAAGTGATATTTTCTCAACTGATTTTAGGGCCAAAGCTTGCACAGTTCTCCATTGTGAGATTGTACATTGGGTCTGTGGAAGATGACCTATAATGACTACTGGTAATAGAAGTCTGCATTGCCTTCTAATTAACATTTAGCCCCTTCAAAATAACTTGGAAGTCCCATTAAAGGACTCTTCATCTCCATGAGAAATAGACTGACCAGAGAAGTTAATGAAAATCCTGCAGATGGTCTGCAGGCATCAGCCGTCACCAAATGACCCTCCTTCAATCTCCAGTAGGGGTGTCTCCGTCCATCAGCCTGGGGGAGTAAAGACGTGGGCCACATTTTGACAGAGTTTTCGTCCTGCATCGATGATCGCTTTCACAAACCCCATCCGCTCGAAAGAAAGAAGCAGCCACTGTGTGGAGTCTTAGCTCTCTCCCCCACTCCCTCTCACTCCCTCAAATTAAGATTTCAGTAATTAAATTGATAAAAGTCATGCATGCCAATATGCCTCATGGTTCCAGACCTGATTTCATACGCCACACAGTTGGAGAGCTGCGGAAGTTCTACCTTTGATGTGGCATTCTTTATTATTGAAAATAATTGGATTCTCCCTCTCTCCCTCTCTCTCTCCCTCACAGTCACACACACACACACACACACAGTTTGCCCATGTTCACTCTGGGCATGCTCAGTTAATCGACCTCTTGCGAGGCAGTGCTGGTGCCGAGTCTCTGTTCCATCTGGGGGTTTCAGGCAGCTTTTCAGTAGAGTGGGGCCCAAGTTGTGTCTGAAAAAAAACGGATTTCAGCAGCCCAGGCAGCGTGCTGAGGGACGTCACTTCAACGCGGGTCAGAGGTCATGCTGCAGGTTGGAGTGGCTCCTGCCAGTGAGTGGGAGCGGTGAGACTTGTGGGAGCGGTGGCGAAGCCTACCGGGGCTCTGTTGCTCTACCTCCATATCAGCTTGGCCGAGCATAAAAAAAGAGCCTCTCTGGCCCACAGGCAGCTGGCTTCTCTCCACACTCAGTGGAACGGCTGATAATCAGTAGAAAGAGACCCCTGATGATTACTAACTGCTTGCCTGCTCGCTCCTCAGAATACTCACATTTGATACCCCCCTTCCCAGTATGCCATAGAATTGATGTCATACAATGTCCATCAATCTCAGCTCTGTTTGTATCAGGGGTGAATGTGAATTTAATTGCCACTGGAACAGAATGAAGGAATTTTGGATTTTCCTCTGTATGTCACCCTCTATCAACTGTGGACAGATGTTATATGTGTGCCGATTCCAGGACACAAGTTGTCTGGCCTTGAAAGTTCAGTGCCGTCTCTGCCTTGTGGGCCAACGCTGTGCTGAGGTTGACGCACGCGAAGAACAGCCGTATTTTAGGAGCCGCTTTGCAGCAGAAGTCATAACTTGTGTCATAACTTGGGCCAACAAAGGGGCCGCCAGAGTAAATAATTTGGTAGACGCCCAACTGATGAGTCATAACAGAACATCTGCTATCTTATTTTACTGACGGCACTTAGCACAGTAGAGGATCTCCACAGCACAGGTTCACACCACTCAGGCTGCTCCTTGACAAGTTCATATACATTTCAAGTGTCTAAATATATATATTTTTTTGTCTTAAAATAATTACAAAGGTTCGTTATCTTGAAATTATTATCAGTATCCTAAACATGTAAGGCAGTGTAAGGTAGTTATTTCACTACAAAAAAGGGACATTTGATTTGGGAAGACATTTTTAAATATGTGTACTGTAGATTGCTATTGAAAATAGTGTGTCAACTTATTGGCAGGTTTTTAAAGAAAACTTAATAAGGTCTCCAGCACAGCTTATCTGTACTGATAAATAATGTCACATTTTTTTTAAAGAAATTAGCTAATTTACGCAATATAAATATTTATCAAAATGGTAATATTTGAATTTCAAAAACCTGTTTTAGCACATTTTAGCAAGAAACTAAAGAAAACAATCTTAGCCCTTGTAAAAACACTAATTAGATTTTTGGCACTGATGAACAATTGTATGAATCCTCTGTTTAGAGTTGAGTTCTGCTCCCTTTAGATTCAGTTCCAGGCTTTACAGTGGTGGCTTGTGTGCTTAGGAGGTTGTACAGCTCAGTGCAGGCCACTTTTAGTAAATGTGTTATTATATACTTAGACCATAAACTAGCAATTACTTTGGCTTATGCAGTAATTATTTAGAGTGGGCATTGTTATTCAGTAAAGAGGAGTATCTCTGTTGAAGTCGGCCGACAGAAGCTGGAGCCAACACTGACGCATATAACACAACTTATTAACTCTTCTAAGCACATAAGCCTTTTCAGTATTCTGTGGCTTAAGTGGGCTCGGCGATGGTCGCTCCATATTATCATGGCTCGGCTCATTGTGACTTTTGCTCCTTTCTTTATAGCAATTCTCAAAGATAATAGGAACAAATTAAAGTCCATTCTTTGTGTCTTTTGTACAGGTATATCCAGGGTGCATCGTCTCCAAAGGACATGGTCATCATCGTGGACGTGTGAGTTTCTCACTCCTCGGTCTCTCTAACTGCCACCTCTTTCAACATCTCCCCCCGGGTGGGAGTGGACGTCTCCTTCAAAGGGCGCTAGTGCCACCTGTTGGTCTCAGAAAAGCTTAAAGTTAGACGAAGGCAGACGCTGCTCATTTTCCTACCTTAGTTGAAGTCCATTTGCCATTGTATCACCTGCTGAAACACACAGATGTGATTTTGAATGCATGCCTAAACATGAACGGTCTAGTGAGAAGATGAAATAGTTAAACCATTCCTTCACAAGTTAGGAAAATGGACATGAGCAGGATCAAGACCTGTCTTCTCATAACTGATCTGTAAGTGCTTTCTTGCATCTTTTCTGCAGGAGTGGAAGTGTTAGTGGACTCACTCTGAAGCTGATGAAAACCTCTGTAGTGAATATGCTGGAGACTCTGTCAGATGACGACTATGTGAACGTGGCCAGGGTAAGTAGACGTTTGCATCATGATTTGTGAATTAATGATACAAATAACTCCTGAAAGCACCAATAACACAAATATTTGTTGTAGTCTTTAAGCAGGTGGTAATCAAGCAGGGAGTCGCTGAATGGCACAGTGTGCTCAAACTCCTCCCTGTCGTTTGCTTTCAGTGGAAACACTGCACTTCCCTCATTATAGTGTATTCACTTTTCCTGGGCCACCGTTGTCCGTGTGGGATTGTGTCTTTCTTTCCCTCTCTGCTGATTACCAAGTTTTCTATTAGGACTTATGTTTAGGGAAACATTAACGTTATGCTATATTGCAGGACAGAGAAGACACACAAGCACATCCACATGCTGTGTGTGGTGGCTCTGTTTGGAGACTTCATTCTGTAATCCCTCATAATCCATTGCTCTTAGCCACTGTATGCCTCTAAATCCCAGCTCTAAGAGCAAGAAATAAGCATGGTAATCTGAGGGGGGGGGGGGACGCATCTGATTTCACCTTATAAAGAAAGTGAGGGCTTACAAAAGCTGGCTGTGAATTATTTGCAAAATACATAAATAACCAATCATTCAAAATCATTACTTTGGTATCACCATGCTTCAGTACTTTTCTTTATGAAACTGTAGTCTCACTTCTGAAATGGCAATATAATTAGTTATAATAGTTCCGACTTCTTCGGAGCTTTTTATTCATATAGATAGTAGATGTAACCCAGCTTGTTTTTTCTTAATATATTTTCACAGCTTACTGTCCTAACATTTTATGACACAAGAAATGTGATATTAAGAAGTGACACAGTGATTATTATGGAATATGTGGCTCTGAATACTTTTGTGTTTGATTTCGATGTCTGACAATTTAAATATGGCACAACACCAACCGATGAGAAATGTCAGCTTTTCTCACACGTAATGTTTTACACGAGTCTGTCCTGAAAATGTCAATTGATTTTGAAGTTGACCTTCAAGAACAAACGGCATTTGAAACCTTCTATTAGACATTGCGGCTCATGTAATCACACATAGACACTGCACACAAGCAGGACAATATATGCCGCGAACACACACGTACACCACACACAAACCTGCACACACACACAGTTTTAGGCTAATTTGGTGGATGAGATGAGACAGATGATATTACCTTGGCTGGGTTTCTGTTCAGTGGTTCGCACTGGTGTTTCAGGTGCACCTGTTCTTTGTGTGGAAAGTTGTAATTACCAGTGTTTACTGCCAGCCAGAGAGTAGAAGGGCAGCTCACATCTGCGCACACCCACGTCTGCATCCTGCTGCCGTGAACAAACAGGAACACACATGGATACGCACTCTTACAACAGTTGGACACCACTTTTTTTTTTTTTTTTTTTAATCTAAAAAAGCAAGTATACATATATGCAGTATGCTCATGTGAGTGTTTGTATCTCCCCTTCTAGTTCAATGAGAAGGCCGATGCTGTTGTTCCGTGCTTCAGGACTTTAGTTCAAGCCAATATTCGGAACAAGAAGATCTTCAAAGAGGCCGTCATGCATATGCAAGCCAAAGGAACCACAGATTATAAGTCTGGCTTCACATTTGCCTTTGAACAGCTTCTCAATGTAAGAGCCAAGAAGCCTTTTCAGGGACGGGTAATGCATGGGTTTGTCTGTGTGCCTACAGAAAGTCTTTAATAACTTGCTGGAACTACGTACTAAAGCTCCATCATGTTATTATACATCCTGTCAGATCCAGTTAAAAAAAAAACTGAATTACCAGTGATAAAACAGTGCCGACAGTGAGCGGTCCAGGTTTGTATAAGACATTTCCAGAGTTCTGTCATTGTCGAATATAGGTCTGATAATAACTGCTGTTGCGACGGAGTGACACTAACGTTTGCAGCAGCCAGCACCGTGGTGAGGTCTGACAGCAGCAGGCGTCCACGTGCTCTCGACACAGGTGCTGCCTCAGCTCCGTATGCTGCTGTGTATTTTAAGAGGCTGCCACCCTAATGGGCTCTGATGGGATGATTGATGAGCGCTCAGCGCAGCCCAGAGGAGATCAGCCACAGACACTTTATATTCCTCTGGTGGGCTTGGAGGCACAGAGCCAAGTGCCAGCTGCCCCCCCCCCCCCCCCCCCCCACACACACACACACACACACACACACACACACACACACACACACACCTTCTCTTGCCAACAGAATGAGAAATAAAAAGGCCTGTTTAATCGCTGTCTGTGGCAGACTCACTCCCATGATTGGTTGCAGAAGCACAATAAAAATATGTAATTGTAGCAATATTATTTATCTTTATTAGAATCTTGTCAGATTGACATGCCACTGGCCTGCATATTAATGGCAGCTGCTGTGCAAGCACGTTTGTATCAAAGCTGAATGCTAAAATCCGGTGCCTGGCTTTGAGCATATAATGCTTACATCAAATTTACCGCCAGAGTAATATTGTATAAACCAAATGAAATCCTAAAATTATGATAATATAAGGAATTTACCAAGTTAAACGGCGGCATTAAATATATATTAGAGCCATATACATACCTGCACATTTGTGTAAACACAAGGGACAGTTCATTTATTGTGGTATTTGAGTATTTAATGATTTAAAAAACTGGTTTTGGGACATGGTAACCAGTAAGAGCAGACATTATTAAACACGTGGTGTCAAAAAAATGGAAAAGAAAGAATAGAAAATAAAAATACGTAGCACAAGCAAAAGTGGAAGACTCAGTGCACAATGAAATGATGTAAGGAGAACAATCCTACACACAGGTGATTCTTAGCCATAAATGCATTTTTAAAATGTATGAATTAATTAATTTATGAAAAAAGATCCTATGAAGAGATGCCATCTTTTAAACTGCCTTTAATCTACTGAGGTGAGGTGATTTATGGAGTGGATCCTCTTAGATGTCTACCATTGCATCTATCCAATCTTTAAAATCCGAGGATTTAGCTCTAGTTCTCGTTCTAACGTCTAAAAATCATTCTGAAAGCTGTAATCAAATCTGCCAATAATAACCGGAAATATACAGTTTCATATATAATCTGTCCCATAGTGAGTTTAAGTCCGGCATCAAAGAGATAGTTGAACAAAATGTTTTTTATAATGTACAAATACTATTACTATATACTATAATACATATATATATATATATATATATATATATATATATATAATAAATACTATTTATTACATATTTATATACTGCTTATCAATGCTAAATATTATCTATGTAATATTTTCCATTTTGCTTCATTGACATATTTATCACAATACCAGACAGTTTTAAATGATGTGTTAGCATGATCACCTTGCTCTTTCATTCTTGCATATTCCCTAACCTGTCTCGCTGCCTTTTTCTTTGTTCTTCTCTCCTCCCTCTTCTCTCTTCATCTGCCACAGGAGAGCAGCGCCCCGAGGGCCAACTGCAATAAGATGATAATGATGTTTACAGATGGCGGGGAGGATCGTGCACAGGAAATCTTTGAGAAGTACAACTGGCCCAACAAAACAGTGAGTCTGTCCCCATAAGGCTGTTATCTGTTCGTCTACATCGCTCTGCCATCCCAAGGGATCATGCATGTCCAGAAACTGTCTTAGCTGTCTTTATCCCTCCCCATCTCCCACCATATTCTGCTGGCATTGTCTCATTGTTCAAGGTTTCAAGGATCATTTATTGTCATGGTGCAACACAGGGATGCACAACGAAATTCAGTTGTAGCCCATTTGTAACGCAACAAACACATGACAAGCGAAACAAAACAGTAGTACATTCCTGTCGTGCATTCTTTTGAATTTGCATCGTAAGGAATGTAAACAGCAGCAACAAACACAATTCTCTGGGCAGATAATATGGCCTACATCTTCACATTAAAAATGCAACATGAGGGAAACAATGTCCATCAACTTTGACTGTGTTTGAGCACCGAGCGTCATGATGTAAACACAGAGTCCACCTCCTCTCGTCTCGACGGAGTCCCCCTCTCGTCCTACTGTTCGCTCGTCAAGTGCGGCTTGATCCGGGATGAACGATGGAGCCAGGTCTCTGTGAAGATGTGGGCTCAAAAGTCACCGACCTCCCGCTGCTTTCATCCATCTTATTTTACTGCAACCGGGCATCAGACAGCCAGCAGTAGGCTGGGTAGTGGAGTTAGCCTCAGGTCCTAGCTGGGTTAGTTTAGCTTGCATCTCTTTCTCTCTGTTGTGATTTTTTTCCTCTTGTGATTCATCCATTTGGCCTTTCTTCAACTCTCTCATTCCATCTCTCCCTGTCTGTTGGTCTCTTTTGTTGTGTAGTGCTGGTGTTAACAGCTCTGACCTGCTGACTAATTAGCCACTTTATCATCAGAGCATATAAAATTACAGCCAATAGATACTCAGTTTGTGTCTTTGTTCCAGCGTTGCTTTCACTTCCACCCTCCTTTCTCCACTTCACAGGCCACCATATTTTATTCTTATATCCGTTACTATTCTGTTGCCTCATGAGGGCTGCTGTCATACAGGAATAATCTGCAGTTTGACAACTCTCTATCCTTGTGTTGGAGACATTTGTGTGAGTTGACTGAGAGGCTAATCTAGTCATACTCAAGATGTGTGCATTGTAGTTGTCACATGCCAGTGACCTTATTGCCATCCAGAAGAATGTTTGAGTGGTATTGTTTTGCTCTGTTAGCTGTCTCTGCAGGAAGTTTGTTTTTTGGCTATTTATTCTGGCATTGACTTCTTTTGATTCTTTTTTTCCCCTCAATCCAGGTTCGTGTCTTCACCTTCTCTGTTGGCCAGCATAATTATGATGTCACCCCTTTGCAGTGGATAGCTTGTGCCAATAAAGGTATGTGGATAAGGTGTTTTTATCAAAGCATATGTTAGTACATATAAAAGAGAAATATGGGTTGGTGCAGGGTTGGTGGTTTGATCCCTGCCTCCTTGTGTCCACATTACCACCGATATAGATTTTATAGATGCTCAACATCTACTGGGTACCCCTGAGCAATACAATGTTAAAGGAAACACACTTGTTTGAAGCGTTCTCGTGAATGGCGTTGTCTCCAGTCAAGTCATTCTCTAGTGGGAAATGCAAAGCCCAGTCATTCAACAAAAGAACTATAAACAAATGTGTTGTGGTTCTGTTGAATCAGTCTGACCCCCGTCTGACCCCCGTCCCTCTTGCTGTGAGGTCACACTGCTTACTTTATAACTAATAGTGTGACTGTGACTAATAGCCCCCTAAATTTTAGTTTTTGCTGATCTCCAGTGGTTTAACCTCTCACAGGGGTACTCTAGGACCCTGTGACATCACTGTTGGATGTGGTTTTACATTTGCAACAAAGCCCACCTCTGACCATACCTCTCAGAGATGCCGTCTGTGGTCAGATGTGAAACACACTTGAATCTTTTAAACCAGAAAGGTCCAGCAAAATACTAGCTTGGTGTTTTCAGATACATATTGATTTAATTCAATATTTAAACCTGCTTGCCCCATTACAGACCCACCATCACTAAGATTTATCTTACTGCACATGATTTTCAACATAATATTTTATTAATCTAAAGCAGCCATAGTTCCTAAAATAACCCAGCAAACAGGCAGCTCTGCCTCTGACAACTCATATGATTCAGCTGCTCTTCCTGTTAGCTACATTGTCTGCTTGAATCTCATCTTGACTCACCACATTAAATCCCAACCTAACTCAGACTGCTGTTTCTGTGCTCAGCTTGGAACACAGTTGTATTTTTTAATCCCCCTCTTCTCCTCCTCTCTTTTTGTGGCTTGATTTAATATTGTTTTCTCAGTGTTTCAGTTTATCTGAAGCTGCTCCTTTAGTTGCCCGTATGAAGCCTCGGCTAACTGCTGATTAGCTTATTGCCAGTGGAGCCAAGTGCTTCAGATGTATCTTCCCATAAGTTGTTATTAATTAGCAGGAGGAGTCTGGTAGCAAGATGATTACCGTGCCATCTCCCTGTCAGGCAGGGGAAAGTCCAGGATTATGCCTCTGTGCCAACATGCTCTCTGCTGTTCGCGACTGTAGTGATTACCATGGTACTAAAGTCTATGCCAACATGAGACAATACTGTTGACACACCACCCTCAATGGAGCTGTCCTCTCATATCTTCAGCACTTATTACTCTTTGGTATCTCACTCCAACAGAGCCAGCTCCCTGACACTTTCACAGGCCCTAACCCTTCACCCGTGTCACACACATTTGTCAAAACGCAGTAACACACACAAGCACAAAAACACACAACTAGGCCACTTGGAGATGCTAGCTGTTGTCTCACTTAAGCTTCAATCCCATTTTAAGAAGAAAGTAACCTCTCTGTGACTCTGAGCACAATGAAGCCATTTCTCCACGCTCGCACACGGTGCAACAAAATGCGGTACGGAAAGGAGAGTTGTCTTAAAAGAAAATAGGTGAAAGCCAATACAATATTCTAATACTGCCACAAAAGTGCTGTTTATAATCCAAATATAGGGACAAAACTTCCCATAAATTCAAGTATCCATAAAAGAAGCATGGTTGGAAGTTTATTGGATGAAATTACACCAGTTTTTATGGTGTTTCTCAACAAAAATATTGATAAGAATATTGAATATGTGTATAAAGTAGTGCATGCTGCACCTAGGACGAAAAATACATACTCATACTGAAAACAGCATACTCTTTATTTTATATGTTTTCATTTTATTAAACCATTATTTTGCCAAGATAATTCCATTGAGATTTTGAATCTCTTTTGCAAGGGGGTCCTGACCAAGATGGCGGCGTAAAAGTTTCACAACAGAAAAAGACAGAAAAACGACTCGAAAACCAAACTGGAGATATTTAAAAGACAACATAAAATCATAACATTGTACATAACGAGACGACAAACCAGCAAATTGCATCAATCAAATAATGTTCATCATTATCAGGATAACTCGGTGCTCAAATGATCCTTAATCCTGTTTTTAAAATCCCTGCATGCTTTTAGAATAATCTAGTTTATAAAGTAGCTCAGTAGCTTTGTAGCTTACCTGAAGGTCCAAAAACTATAAAAGCGTTTTAACCAAAAACGTTGCGGGTTCTAGGGCTAGGTGCCTAATTTGTCTGCCAGATAGGAGGCTGCAGTTACAATTTTTGGAGTCAGTAGGGAACATAGATAAGGAGGCAATTTTTGTAATATGGCCGAAAAATCGACTAATGTTCCATGCTGCGGTCGTATAAGCAGGGAAAACCATCTCTCTCAAATCGCAACGCAGCACGATGCACTGAATCCAACATTTTCAAAGTGAATGAATTTGCATGCAAATATAAAATATCACCATAATTAAATGCTGATAGAAACGTTGCTTTCATCATTTTTTTCCTTGCAGCAAAATAAAAACCGCATTTGTTTCTATAGTAGGAACCTCATTTCCCCCTTTGTTTTGTGTAAGACGTGATGCCCTCAGTAAGAGCGCCGGGCGTTAAAGGAGATTTTACATACTGGCCAAAATGAAATTACAATTTCCAGGTTAGTAGTTCAGTTTTCAAACCATTGACCGGTTTTATGTACATAACACTGCACCTCCAACACAATTACTTTATGGAGAAAACAACATTCAGTCAAAAAGGCATGATATATTTTTAATTCAATGGATGTGATGTATTTTATACACGAGTCAAAAGTCCAAAATGTTCTGTTGTATTTCTCTCAAAACAGTTCCAGATTACTTCATAAATCTTAGGATGACGTCAGAGGATAACTGACTTCTAATAGTGCACAGGGATTATGTAATGAGCTTTCAGAAGGAAAATTGTTATTGATAATTCATAATTGCCCCTCAAACAGCAGACGTGTGTTGTTAACTTGCACAGCACTGAGGAGATCTACATTACAGACTTACTTTTTAGTTAACACCTATATCTTACCCTCTTCACGTCTCGCTGAGCGTTGCCCTCCACCCACAGATATCACCTCTCTGGAACACTGCCAAAAGCACTGGGACAAACTACTGCTCTGAACAAAATGATCATTATAAGTATGTGTGCCCTGTGTGTGCAGAGATGTGTATATATATGTGCATCATGTTTGCATGCTCAAATGTGCAAATGAATGAGACGGAGAAGGCAAATCTCGACACAAACCACTGTGGCACAGTGCATAATGTGACAAAATAATGAGTCATCTCAGCCTTTTAACATTCTGGGGATGCTGTCTCCATTTCACCGCTCTTTGTATAAACACTCATGGCTTTAATAGCTTGGGGAGCGGCATCGTTATTGACCCAGTCGGTCATTTTCCTTCATTCCTAATCAGCGGCAGCAGTGCCAGGGGCTCGGCATTCCCAACGAGCCTCCACATTTACATCCTGCAGCACAACCACGAGTGTAGAGAGGTCAATGGCCACAAGCTCTACCGTGCCTGCTTGGTCCAACACCATCAGCTGGAGATGATGGCATTACGTGTACCTAATAGCATGGTAGAGATTAGACTCCAATCTACAAATGGATCGCTTTTGTACACACTGTGACTGTTTCAATCTTGAAAATGGGGGCAGAATATGACGCCGACGAGCACCGTGACGCAGGCTGTATGCAAAGCTTTCTGTTGGAATAGTGTGTTGATTTTCTCCTCTTGATCTTCAGGTTACTACTTTGAAATTCCATCAATTGGAGCCATCAGAATCAACACGCAGGTAAAGTACATGGGATACTGAATGCGCATTTATGAATCCACAAAAAAAAATTCAATTATAAGTGAGAAGCTAGTCCAGTTTTCCTTCATGGTTGCTTTGATGATGATTATGCAGATTGTAGATAAGTATTCCGTAAAACAAACGGACAGAAGACGATGCAGCTGGACAACTACAGAAAGGAAGTGACAGAGTTGGAGATGGAGTGATAACGAAAAGGGTTGTGGACTCTCTAAGAATGTTTCTGGACGCTCTGAAGTAAAGACTTTCAGATCTCTTGCTCTTTTTCTGTCACACTCTCTTTCACACACACACACACACACACACCGTAGGATCCTCACACACCCAGGGTCCTGCTAGAGGCACTACGAGCTTCTGGAGGCCCTTGGGATAACCTCATTCCAGCTGTAGAAATTGACTCAGTTGCTGGGAGGTGGGGAGCTACTGCACACCCCTCCACCCCCTCTCTCCCCTGCCTTCTCCTCCCCCCTCCGACCCGGTGAGCAATCAGGCCCTAGAATATACTGTCAGCTGTTCCATTAACTCCAGCATATTTATATGCCGAGAACTGCCACTTACTCTAATAGGTTTTCTGAAGGTGGGTGACTACAGCTCTCTGTATAGGCCCAGAAGACACATTATTTAATCGCACTCTGCCCTTCAACATCACACACTCATCACATAGTCTCACTTGACTAAGATGGCAACATTCAAATAACAGATGGACCATAGATGGGAAGGATATCATTATTCAAACCGTCCTGACTCATGCGATTATGTAGGAAGAGGAGAATAGTTTTGAAAATAAATGTCACCATATGTTGTGTTTCTGCGTAGTTATCTGACACTGAAGTTAATAGTGACTTGTGTCATCCATTCAGGCTTCTTTGTGTAGGATCTCTCAGTGGAGCAACAATAAGGCTCTAACTAGGATGTTTGTCTTTGGAAGAGTCCCTTCTCTGCGATCATGGATGTCACAGTACCCAGAGAGACAATAGCATTTAATCAACGCGTAGGGATGTTGCTGGAGTCTGTGTGGCTCCGGTTCCTTTGGACCACATCTCCAGTTGCCGGCTTTTTATGTTTCCTAGATTGTTCTCGCCAGGCGGAACATTTTCCCTCTATCCCGTGAAAAGGTCTGGCTGTCATTGCGCTGATGGAATATCTCCCTGTGGCGCGTTAAACCGGACTTTTATTGAGCTAATAATAGAATAGGTTACGCCTGTCAGCACCTCACTGTTCAGGCGATGGGAAAACAAACGGTCAAAAGCATAATACTGAAATAGCTGTGTGCTTGTACAGGGCGCCCCTTTTCTCTATTGAGGGTAGACACAAGGGTCAGAAATTTGCGATACGGTTTCAGTTGTTTTTTTGCAAAATGGCTGGAAATTTGACCCCGAGAGAGCAGCTGCATTTTCCACTTATCCTGTTTCTACATTTGATTATGTTGTGTTGTAATATAAAGGTAAACATTCGGCTTTATAACTCACCGACTGCTGAATAGGGTAGGAGGGTTTTGTGTTTTTGTAAATGTTTGCAGACGTATACACAGTCTGTATGACTAGAGAACAATGTTGCTGTGTCTGGTCTTTATAACAACTAGACTCTAAAGGCTCTTAGTGCGATGGTCCCGACTGTGCAGTTGCTTCATATGTCATGAGGTCAATCACTCAATAATTGTACCAATTACACGTCACATCTAAAATGACAAGCAACTATAGGTTGTTTAGAAAACAATGACATCTCAGCCATTGTGCGAGGTGGCTCCTGAGAACGGAAGAAATAAACTGCATATGATGTATTACTAGTAGACTTAACCCCTCACCTCTATTCACAATAGCTGTGGGACATTCTCATATAGTGCCAGCGATGACAGTAGAGCCTCTGGGAGAATGGCCTGTTTGCACGTCGTGCCACTGACACCCTTAATGTGTTTTTAATAGCTCCTTCATAATGATGAGAAACGGCCGTGAGTGGTTTAGGACTGGAGGCTTTATGGCTCGGCAGGACCGGGATGCTGCTGCTGGTGGCCCACTGGTTTATGTGATGACAGAGAGGAGGCCGGTCAGGGTCTTATAGTTTTATGACAGATGAACGTTGGCTCTTCCAGCTCTTTGCTTTTACCGCCTCTACATGACGAGCGCTATAAACGCTTGTTTGATTGTACGTGTTTGTTGCGTTTGGTCTCACGAGCGTGTGTGTTTTTGCCGTTGCAGGAGTACCTGGATGTCCTGGGTCGTCCCATGGCGCTGGCTGGGACTAAAGCAAAGCAGGTGCAGTGGACAAACGTCTACCAGGATGCTCTGGTGAGAGAAAACTTAGAAAGACATTTTATTTAATTGAACCGTAAAGTAGCCTTTATAGAATTTACCAAATATTTCTCATTCTATGTTACATTATTTAGTCCATAGATCCAAAGATATTCAGATGATGACTTTTTAAATTGGTTACATCCTACAAGTAATTCTGGTGTCACAATGTTTTAATCTATTCAATTTCACTTCTTATTGTTAAAAAGGTTTTAACCGAGTTAAAATTGCCGTTGATTTATTTGGGGCTTATCGTGTTTATTGGTTTAGATTTTTAATGACACACTATATACAAAGATCTTTTAAAACATAGATTTATAATATGCTTTTTCAGGGTTTGGGCCTGGTCATCACTGGAACGATGCCGGTCTTCAACCTCACTGTTGATACTGCAAGCTCTCAGGTAAAAACAACACTGCAATACAAGACATGGAGCTTAAAATAGCGGGACTTTTTATTCTTGCTCAGCACACAGATGTGATGATTCATACCCCAGCTCATCCGTCACATTAATGAGCCTTTACCTCTATCGTTATGTAAGAACAATGTTTTCATCGTCATTGTCGTTGTTAAGGCTACACAAGGTTATTCAAACAGGAGAAGGAGTTTGAGTAGCAGGTGTGCTCAAGGTTTTATTTCCGTCTCTTTGCTGTTGTCGACCATCATCAGTCATTTTGTAATGGCGTCCATCCAGCTGCTGCTCTTCGAGGCAACACCTCCCCCCTGAGGTGACAACGGACATCACAGCCACGCGTCGGCAGCATCATCCAGAGAAGACGGATATATCCAGCTTTCAATATCCACGACCAAAGTATTTACTGTGAGCTTATCACACCGGCTTGAAGCAATGATGCAAACCGCCACAGTTTCAGATAGACAGTAAAAAATATGGACTAATCAGATTGCACACAAAGTGATGAGTCAAAGATGGCATTGGGATGTAGTACTCTCACGGCACAGCTACCGGCTCTCTGTGATTCTCGGATGCCAGTGCGGTTGTGGATGAAATACTAATGATCACCTCTTATGTTTTTCCTACAGAACCAGCTCATCCTCGGAGTCATGGGAGTAGATATTGCAATCAACGAAATTAAAAGGAAGACACCTACATACAGAGTGAGAATGTTGTACACTCAATATCAGTCTCATATCCCTTTAATATTGATTATTATTGAATCACACCTCCATTCACTCTTCACATGTGCAGCTTGGAGCCAACGGCTACACCTTTGCCATCGACCCGAATGGCTACGTACTGCTGCATCCCAACCTGCGACCCAAAGTAGGTCCAGCAATGAACGCCGCCCCGCATTTAATCAGTTAATGTTCCTCTGAAGCCAAATTTAGACTTTTTTTCCCCTTCTGACTGACGTTATATTCCCCCCCCCCCCTCCTCCTCGTCTTCGACTGCTTTCTCGCTCTTGTTCAGATCATTAACTTCAAGGAGCCCGTCACTCTAGACTTTCTGGATGCAGAGCTGGAGGACAGTAACAAGGAGGAGGTAAAGACAACCTCTCTGAAACATCATCATTACTTTCAGCATGTGTGTTTAATATGCATTTAGTTTAATCACTTTATTAGTCAGTTGTTTTTCCTTTTTATGTACCTGTATGTCCTCTCTCTCTCTCTCTCTCTCTCTCTCTCTCTCTCTCTCTCTTTTCAGATCCGTCGACAGATGATTGATGGCAAACCAGGGCAAAGGAAAATCAAGACGCTCATTAAGTCAGTTGATGAGGCAAGTCATCAATATATGAGACTCAATCATGATCCACTGCAGCACCTTCCTGAATGTTGTTGTAATGAACTTGAATGACTCAGTATGCTTAGGATCTGTTGTTTCCCTCCAATTATGGGAAGACAGATGTGCTGAGGATGAGACCGGGTTACATGTTTCTCTTTGTGGTTGTCAACAGAGGTACATCGACGAGGCCATGCGTACGTACACGTGGACGCCTGTGGATGGCACAGATTACAGGTCTGTTTGAAATTAAACATGCATCAACTTGAAACTGTCCAACTTTGATACTTTTGAGTCCAGTTTGAGTCACAAGTCTCAGATTTATGGTTGACAGCTGGTTACTCAGCAGCCAGCAGTGTTTGTTAACTGTAGCTGCCACTATCATGCTCTTGGAATAGACTAAACATATCACTGAATAAAGGCAACTTGCTCATTTGCCTTCTGTATTTCTATTAAATAATTCATCTGAATCACCCATATTAAAGAACAGTAGTTTTGCTCTCTCGTAAGAAAACCTTCAACAGTACTCTAAGCACCAATTAATTGCATAGTTTATTCATCTCAAAACTTGGTTGAACATTTGAGGTTGCATCCTAATGATATTTCCTCCAGGCAACACTTTGCAAATTACAGTTTATGATATTCAATAGTCCTACGAATGCCTGATGTGTTTTTATTACATCTGCTGGCAGCATTCCCAGTCCTGGCTGAGTTCATGTGAGGCTTTCTCTGCACAATTCTATTTATTTCAACTCAAAGAGAAATTCCAGTGTGTTTAATAATCCTCACGTGTTACAGTGTTTGCCTGCAACAGTCAAATCTAACTCTAACCAGACATTCAAAGCTCTTCTCTGCCACTCATCCTACATTTTTGCGTTTAGGGACTTTCTCTACTCGAAATTGGATGTTTCTTTAAATCTAAATTTGCCTTATCTACTTTAGTCTGCTGTAGCTGTGGCTCAGTCTGATCCTGTTACAGTCACAGTCTGATGTTCTATCTGTTCCAATTAATCCTCTTATTGGTTATATTTTAGCTTTGTATGGCACCACAGATTAAGAGATGGGACATGTATTTCTTTTTTTTTCTCCCTTTGATTTATGGTTTTGGTAGAAGAGTAAATATTTACTAACATAAAGCATATGTAGGTCAAACTAACACTCCATAACAATGACGTATTTCAAAGTGAAACTGATATTTCTCTTTTGTTTGAACCCCCTTGAAGTTCACTCGGATTTAAACAGAAACACAATCAGCTATGTGGCCCAAATACCATGCATGTTTGATACTTCACAGAGTGCACACGCTCCAAACGCTGTCGCTTTGCTTGAAAACAGTCGGACACCGGCCTTCTCACAGCAGGGCGGCATCGAGAATGTGTCAGATGTGTATTCTGAGAATTTGATTTATGGGAATCAGCTTAAAATCCTCTGAATTGGAAACTTAAAACTGCTACTTCAGTAGTGGCTTCATGCGAGTGGGTGAAACTAAAAAGTAAAACCCCAAAAGACTTCACAATTTTTTACCAGTCACTCACTGCTATTAAATGAAACTGACTTTCTCTCCATAAGTAATAGCCCACAGACAGTGCTTTAATGTACCGTGTGTCGTTTGTAGCGTCGCTTGTTACCAACGTTGTGTTTCTTTTATCATTTCATAGTTTCTTCCGAGCTCTAACAAAGGTGGTTCATTGATTTACTTCCTCACGAAACATTTGGAAAGCCTGAATTGTTCAGATCCACATTTACTTTTTAGCAGTCTTCTTTTTGCTGCTACGCAGCTCTGTTTTTCTGCACATGACTGCCACCTAACAATCAGCAGAGGAGGATGAAACGTTCACGTCACCACATAAAAACAAACCAGGGATAATGAGAACATTGCTCCATTGCGCTGCTGCTAGAGGTCAAAAAGATTGATCCCTCACTGCCTAATGTCAGCACATTAAAGAAGTAATAATCCATTTCTCGGAACCTTTAAGCTAGTGGCGTCTGTTGGTGAGCGAGCCCGACTGTCTGTGTTTGTACGTTGGAGGGTTTACATGTGCATTCATAACGTGTTCCTGATTTTCTGTGTCTGCCTCGTTACCTCAGTCTAGGGTTGGTACTGCCCACATATAGTGAGAACCACATCAAGGCCAACCTGAGTGACCAGATCCTTCAGGTGCAGTGTAAGTACCCGGGAATACCCAGCATCCTTCACTCGCTGTCTCTCTCTCCTTTTCTTTCTCTCGCTCTCTCTCTCCACTCTTTCCTCCTCTCTCTCCCAAATATGACCTTATGCTCTTATCCAGTCCTTTGCCCTGGGTCTCCAACATCATCATAGGGAGTGTCCGAGCGGAGTCGCCTGCCCCACTCCCCCTGTCCCCCTTCTTGCCCCACTCTACACTCTACAATAGGCAAGATCATACCTGAGTCCCCTGACTCCTCTACTGCCCCCTGTTCCCTCCTGTCTTCATGCTGTGCTGTAAAATGGTGATGTTTTTTCTTCACACTGGCTGAAGAAAAAAATAACTGAACTGACAGAAAGGTGAAAGCTGTGGTTTTACTGTATTACTCAGGTGAAAATAATGGTGACTTTTGTGCTATTATTTTTTTTGCCAAATGCTCTCGCCTCTTCTCCACCAAGTAATGATTCTGAAGCATCTGTGTTGAAAGTATTTGATGTTCTGAAAAACTGTGAAAACATGCATGCTTTTCACTCCTTATGATGAGTTTTATTATTTGGGGAATTTTCCTTCTGTTATGTGTGTAATTTATTTTCTTTATTTTCTTTATGTATTTGTTAGATTGTGTGAGATGTTTCTCAGCTTTGGAATCATTCAGTGTATATAAACTCCCACACGGCCCGGGACAAGGGCTTGTCTAATGTGGGAGTTTGGGTTTTTGTGGGTCTGAATGGGGACACTTGTTGTCTCTCTCATTCTTTCTTTGTCCAGACCCTGTTACTTCCCTCTTTTCCTGTTTCATTTGATTTTTTTGTTTGTTTGACCATGGTTATCTCCCACAATTACTGGTTTTGTCTTTACTTTTTTCCTTTCCTGGATTTCCCTTTTTTCCTTTCTTTCTTCCGTTGGTTTTACGTTTCCTCGTTTGCTCTTGCAAATAAGATGTTTGCTCTTCATTTCCTTTTCTCTCTTGTCTTGTTTGACTTAAATTGGTTTCTTTCTTTCAAGAAAACAATATTTTTATTCAAGCAGTAATTGAATAAAATATTGTCTGTGATCCCCCCTTCCCACCCGACCCCCTGTTTCTTTTCTTGCTCACTCCTTCTCTGATGGATCCACACAGTGCCATACACCAAGGGCAAGTATACTCCATATTGGTCCACGTTCCTTCCTTTACTTCCTATTTCCTACCGCTGCCTCCTTCCCACACCTCTCGTCCTTAACCTTTTCCTGCTGCCCCCCTCCTCCTCCTACCCTTACCTGTCCCAGCCTGCTTGCCTCTGTTCCTGCCCGTCTTGCCTTCAGGACTTCCTCTTTTTCCTCCTCCTTTTTTCTCCTTTTATCCCTCCTTCTTCTCTTCACCCTCTTGCTGCAGCTCAGATCCCACATCTCTCACGATGGCTCCTCTGGTCCCCAACCTCACCCCCCTCCCACGTACCCGCTGCTCCAGAAGCAAAAAAAACCAAAAAACACCTACTGCACCCAAGGAAGACAAATATTCATGTTCTCTGTTAAAACTTGTCTTTTGTCCCTCCTCCTAATCCTTTTCCTTCTGTGGATAGTTCCAAATGGGTTGTGTCTGCCTCCTTTCTCTCTCCCTCTCTGTCTCATTCTTACACTTTTTTCATTTTCTTCGACCATATTTCTTTCTCTTCCTTCGTCATCTTTCTCCATTTCTCTTTCACCTTGCTGTCGCTCTCTCTTTCTATTTTTTTTCTTACAGTGTCATTAGTTAAAATGTCTTTAACTAATTCTCACACCAGGGCTCACCAGGTGTTGAAAGGTCTTTAATTAGATTTTTTGTTTTAAAACGTATTAGTTCAATAGCTTGAATAATTTACGTTAAGTATATATTTAATATTTCTTATCGTTCTCTGTTTTGTAGGTAGGCAAACACACTAAACTGAAATATACATTTTGTAGTCCTAAATCTGTATCAGCACATGCATTGAATGTAAGTACTGCTATTTGTTTAAAGTAGAGTAAATAGGGATCTCTTGTGGTCATAATATTTTGACATAGCTATACTTAATTCTCCATATTAAAAAAGAAAGTTATGTAATGTTTGTTAGCTGTCGTAGTATCTCGTCTTATGCTGTAGCTGGAGATGTTGCAGCCTGCAGACTGACCCTTCAGGGCTGAGCTGCGTCCTGCCCTCCCAGGTCCTCCCATGTTGTCAGCTGTCAGGGTGCCGCTCGGTGCAGCGTCTGACTCCTGTGTCGTCCCTGTGTACTCCCTGTCTCCATCAGCTTGTCTCCCTCCATCCTCACCCCTCAGACTGCCGGGGTCACGGCCCAACACTTCCTCAGTAAACCTGACCCCGGATGTGCACGGCATTGTGGGCGGAAAACTACCTGGGCACTCTATTTTAGCTCTGAAATTTCATTCCTCTGCTGTACACGGTTACAGGTCTTTACATAATGGGAAAATAACACGTTGGATTCGTCGCAGACTCACCTGTTGAGGCGTTAATGATGGTTGATATTGTCTGGTTTTGTCTGTGATAGATGAAATGAAGTTGCCCTTTGACATGCCCTTCACAATGCAATGCATTTCCGATGATTATGTGTCTCTCTGAGCCCTCCGCCCTGCCAGTCTGAGGGGTGATCACTTCCATCAGGACCTTCACCCACCTCCCCTGCAATAGTTGGCCATGTTGATGCCTGCCTGATCTAAAAAGCACTCATTGTGGATAATCTGTCGGAGAACTTGCTTCCTGACTCATCACGACTTGCAAGTCAGTTCTCAGACATCCAAAATATGTTAGATTGAAACCAAATGAATCAGAAAATGTTTGATGAAAAAGTGATGAAGAAAAGAAACGTGAGTGCTTGTGAAGCTAAGCAGTCCATTTAGAGTCGGGTTCTATTTTTGGCACCATATTGGCTAACGCTAGTGTTCCCATGATACCTCAGTGTTGCTATGGTAAACTCCCTTCTGCGTCCCTGCACCTCTGAAGAACAGCTGCTGTTTACCCACAACTCCCCACCGCCCTGCCCACTGCTCTTCCCACATAATCTTCCCCTTTCTGTTGCAGATTTTGAATCTCTGCTGCCAAACAGTTTTGAGTCTGAAGGACATGTATTCATTGCTCCCAGGTAGCCCTGTGTGTGGATGCTTGGTGTCGTTGATGGTCATCAGTGTTTGGTCTTGTCTTTTGATGCACTATACTCCACGTTCAGCCTCTTTGAACTGTTATCTGCTTTCTATATCTTGTGATGAGTTGCACTCTGTGTGAAGTGGTTGTGTTTTATTCATTTATTGCTCTTTTTCAGTGGTGTGTTAGTTCATTGCAACACATTTGAGGAAAATATAGAATTCATTATAACCTTATGACATGATTTATTTTTTGCATTTACCCATTCTCTTAGTTAACCTCATTACAATAACATATTGAAGCCGCATTAAATCTTCTTTGCATGCTGCTACTGTGGTGTTGTATGTTTGTATTACAGTAATACATTTAGGGGTTGTTGGTTAGGTTCTACAACAAAATGCTAAAAGTAAAATGGATTTTGGACAACAAACGCTGCTGTATGTATGAAAAAAAAGATTTTCTTTGCATGTGTTCTTTTGATATCAAACTCTCATGGCCTCCAGCTGCAACCTGACTTCTGAAACACACCAATAAAAATAACTCCTTCATTGTGATGCCTGCAGTCAAATCCACATTTTGTTTTGATCGACAGCATGTTGGAATTTAAGCTTTAAGAAATGCATGCTGCACGTGATGCATCCCCGCTTTGTGCTGCGTGTCCCTATATAAAGGAAAGATACGACAGAGTCTAAATATTGCATACCTGTGTTTGTTTTTAGCTTCTTTCTCTGAGTTAAAATGTCTCGTCTGTTCCTCAGGGAATACTGCAATGATCTGGAACTATCCAACAACAACACTGAGTTCCTGCTCAACTTCATTGCTCTCATGGAGAAGGTGACACCGGACTCCAAACAATGTGAGTTTCATTTCTTTCCACTCAAACTGATTTTAAATGAGTTAATTAAAGATTGACTCTAATGGTTATGGCCGTGATGTTATGTATTTTTTTTATTGTCAACAAATCCCACAAAAAATCCATTGAAGAGACCAAAACCAACCATTAATTTATACTACTAGTAATTAGTATCTGTGTAACCAAAGCTATAGAAAAATATTTATCTAATTTCATTTTGCCACCATCTGTACCAACACAAAGCTTGCGCAGAGACAGTTTGAGTTTTGTAGATGAACTTGGTGAAACAAAAAAAAAAAGAATCAAATGTCTTCATATTCACTACAATGAAAAGCAAGTTATGTTTATTTTGGTTCTGTCGAAAAGTGAACTGATGGAGTTTTACAATGTGTTCAGAGAAGAGACATCTGATGTCGTTATAACTGATTTTGTTTGCACCCTTTCTGGTCATCTCTACCTGATCGTATTTAGGTGACAATTTGCTTCTTCATAACCTGATTCTGGACACTGGCATCATCAGGCAGCTAGTTGAGAAGGTGTGGAAGAACAAAGACCTGAATACGTGAGTACGATTAAAGACCTACACTTTTAGATTTGACTCTGAATACGATTTCAATTGGATTTGTCTCTTTTCTCCATCCTGACTTGTAGATATGGCTTTCTGGCTGTGTTCGCTGCATCAGATGGAGGTGTAACAAGAGTGTTTCCGAACAAGTAAGTGCACTCTTCATCAAGGCCGTACGTCTGTAGATCTGTTATGTCTCTCATTTTATTCTCTTTTGATGTAGTAAGTTGTGAATACTTCAAATGTTTCAATGTAGCGGGAGGCTTGTACATCAGAGATTTACAGCTCCAGTGTCTGTGCTCTTAAATCTAAGGGCTGCAGAAACCTGGGAGGAAGATCCTGAGCCATTTAATGCCAGCTATTACCGCCGCAGTCTCGACAACAAGGGCTACATCTTCCGAGCACCTTATCGAACAGGTGAACGATGCTCCCTTGGTCTTGGGTTATATATATCTCACACTGAGCCTCATAATGTGTTGTGGCTCTTTGTTTCTAACCCCCTCCCGGCTTTTTTCTCTATTTCGTTTCCCTCTTGAAGCCCAGGACGAGCCGCTGAACCCAGAGAACGACACCATAGGGATCCTGGTCAGCACGGCTGTGGAGATCACAGTAGGAGGGAAGACCATCAAACCTGCAGGTGGGTTCAGCTCTGAAAGAGGAGACAAATCCTTAATGATAGATGAAAAAAATGTTTTAGAGCGAGGAAGAGATATAAACACGTCTGTGTTTCTTGTCACTTTGTGCGGACATGTCCGTGCTCTGCATTCATTTTTTGGGGCCTTTTATTGTGCCTCTAGGCCGGCGCCAGCATTATGTTCCCTGGTTGTTTGTCATTTCAGTCTTTTGTCGTGAATGCGATATTTCAGGAATGCTTGAAGGGAATTACTTCAGATTTGGCTCAAACGTCCACTTGCACTTAAGGATGAATCGATTCGATTCTGAACAAAGTGAACAAAGGTCAATGTGACCTCACAAAACACGTTTTTGAAGAATTCACATGCTACTTGTGAAAATGTCACACAAATGTCTAAGAGGTTAAAATGATGACATTTTGGACAGACATGGATGTAAAGTGCAACATGACTGGTTGGCGGAGGCATACATCTGTAGGCGGTATTCTTGTTTGCGTCTGTCTTTTTCATTTTTTTTGCATTTTCATCTTTTTACTCTCAGTGGTCGGAGTGAAACTCGACCTTGAGGCCTGGACGGATAAGTTTAAGATTCTTGCAAGCAACCATACAGACAACCATCAGGGCTCAAATACGGTAATAAGTTATACATGAAAAGTCTTTTATATTTACCAGCTTAAGTCTTCAGCAGTATTTCTAGGACGTTCAGCTGCTAACTTTGTTTTTTCTCTGTGACAGTGTGGACCAAACATGGGCTGTGAAATGGATTGTGAAGCCAACAGTGAGGTAAATATTTCTGCTAATTTCTGATGAGCTTCCTGTATTCAGCTGGAGCTACTTCTTCTGTTAAACAGCCTATCTTTGCCTCTGTGTGCAGGATCTCCTGTGTTATTTAATAGATGATGGCGGATTCCTGATCATGTCTAATCAGAAGGACGACTGGAGCAAGGTGGAGTTAATAAACTCATTTTCACACTTACCACGTTTTCTTGTTTATCGTTACACTGAGCTTAAACCAGTGTTGCTTGTTCCCCACAGGTGGGCATGTTCTTCAGTGATGTTGATTCCTACTTGATGTACGCGCTCTACAATAATTCCTTCTACAACCGCAAGCAGTCGTTTGACTACCAGTCTGTGTGTGAACGGATGCCCAACAGTGAAGCTGGAGCTGCACCCAGAGGAGTGTTTGTGGTAAGAACATATACTTAACCACCAGAGCGAACGAGATGTAATGAATTCAAATAGTAGACTAGAAGATAATACTTTGAATTAATGGCATATCGTGAGACTGATGGGTGTTTGATTTTAATATACATGTAATCTGGTTGATATGACATGAATGTTCTTACATTTTTCTCTGTTCGTCTGTACCTGCAGCCCACAATTGCAGATTTTGCAAACGTGGCTTGGTGGACATCGGCAGCTGCATGGTGAGTGTCCTCGGGCTCCGATGGGGGAAAAAAAAAGACAACTGTAATATACAGTACACACAAAATGAATAAACAGTACCATATTCACAGCAAAAGACATTGCTGGAACGTATCACTGAGCCCCATCCCCTGTCTCCACAGGTCCTTGTTCCAACAGTTTATATATGGACTGGCTTATCACAGCTGGTTCGTCACAGGTAAGTGCAAACAAGACAATCATTAAATGTTATCTCTGTGTTTTAGATGTCTGCACCTAAAGATTAGAGTACAAACTCTCAGAAAGAAAAGGAATAACTGTATTTCACAACTATTTCCGACCACTTCAAGTCAAATTGGAGTTATGAGCCAAGACTATTAAAGTTCATTGACGGTTAAATGATAAATTACTCTATATTTAATTAAAGTGCCCAGTTTTCCTGTGAAATTAGTTTGTTTCACTCAGTTACACTCTCCCATCCTCAGTGAATAAACTGTAAATACAAACCATATAAAGAAATGAAGTCGAGAGATTTTACAGCTGTTCCCAGACCAAGTGTAGAAGTTCATCTTTGTAATCCCATTTTTAGAACCAGATCTAATAAATCAACTGAACTGACAAGAGTGTGTCTTTGTGCTCTGGTGATGCTGCAGATGAGGTGGATGCAGAAGGAATCGACTCCAAAGAGCGGAGTTGTGTAATGATCCAGACCCAGTACTACTTAAGTAATCTCAGCAGCTCCTACAACATACTGCAAGACTGTGGCAACTGCTCCAGGTCTGTACACACGATAAAATACACACACACACTTAAGCACACACGCACACGCTCACACATACACACCACAAAGAATCGCGCCGTGGCTGAGGCACAGTTAGCAAGACGGATTCATCTTTCTGTCGGAGCTAATAAACTCTGCTGATGATTAAACCGCATCAGTTTTAATGAAACGGTCATATCATTGGCTAAATGAGCCTTACAATACAGTCTCATGAATCTGATCCATTAGCAAATGAGGCTGTGATGTAAGCGAGCAGAGGGGGGTTGTTGACAGAGTTGTCTCTCCCTCCCTCTCTCTCTCCCTCCCTCTCTCTCTCTCTCTCTCTCTCTCTCTGCAGGCTGATTCATGCCAAGAAGATAAACAACACCAACTTGCTGTTTGTGGTGGCAGAGAAGATGCAATGCCAAACCTGCGAGATAGAAAAGCTGTCCCAGGAGGAGGAGGAGTGTATCCTTTTTCACATTGCATACCAGCTGGCAGAGAAGAAGACAAACCAGATGTTATCTCCGTATTACCATACCTGCGAAAAAAAAGATGCATCGCATTTATTACAAGGTTATTTTTAACACGATGGCAGGAATTATGTCCAGTTATTTAAGATTTGTTGGACTGCGTGAGGAATTAGTATGTGGGCGGACGATGAAACATTGCTAAAGAAAAAAGCCAAGATTCAAAGGATTTTGTAATTTTCCTTTATTCAGACAATTTTCAGTCAGGGAGGAAAATCCATGTGAAGAACTGACTGTGGCGCGCTATCGGAAAGGACCTTCCACCTGCTTTGACAATAATATCTCTGTAAGATTTTCAGACACGATATCAATAAGCACATTTATTTTAAGTTTGATTATCAGTTTTCAGTAGAATATTATATTATTATATTTCCAAATGAATGATTCTGAGCAAGTCGCCATTAGAAACTGAAAGTTAAGTTAATGAAGGTTGACTCCAACATATAAAGAACAAAAACAGTGAAACGCAGTTAATTACTTTTATAACTTACTTTTATCAGGCTGAGATTTTTGCAAACATTAGCTACATTGTGATGTATAGCATTAACATACAGGCAGACAGCGTGAAAGGGAACATGCAGATTTAAATTTACATTCGAGTTAATGAAGACTGTAATTATTTGTCTTTAAGGGAACTAGTTATTCGCTTTCTTGTTGAGAGTAGACCAGCAGAGACTCCACAAAGTCACTGGTTCCAGCCAAGATCCAGACTGTGTCCGGAATCACTCCCTATTTACTACATACAGTAGTATGTTAGTGCATTTAGTGTCTGACTTTATCCACTCTGTAGTTACCTCACTCATTCAACAATGGAACAAAAGTAGAGTCCATAATATGTGCACTACCATTTGCTAGCATGCCCACTCTGAATTTTATCAATGCTAAAGTTACAATTGGACGTCAGTGATGACGCAACATGATGATGATAAGTGTCTGATAGAGAGTAGTGAATGAGTGAACAGGGAAGTGATTTTAGACACATGCAGTCATAGCCCAGCACATAACCACCGAAAACTACAGCTTGTCGTTTTACTGTGTCTTTGTGCAGATTAAACAATTATATAACATGTTCATTAGTGAGCTTTAAGTTTGACGGTGGGCATATTTTGTTACCTTGGTTATTTAACAGATAGACATCGAGAACTTTTGGCCAGAAAGCAAATAATTGTGTCTCACAAAATGTTGAGCTGTACCATATTCAACGTTACACCTTCCTCTTAGCAGTTTCTTTGGTTTAGCGTGTGATCGGACAGACTGAAAGAGACAATAATAATTGGGGAGGGGGTGCTTCCATTCAAGAAATGAGTTGGTAAAGTTGATTAGTAACAAAGCATAAGGAGTTCATATGTTTTCCACTAGCATGTAGTATTAAACACACATCTGATGTACTAGATGTGTACTTACAGCTACAGTTTTCCCTCTGCAGGAGAACACATCGGACTGTGGACGGGGACACTCCTTCCGTCCGTCCCTCTACACCTTACTGCTCATTCAGCTGTTTTTGCTTTATCCAGCCATCAGCCCCCACTGTCACTCTCCACTACATTAATTCAACTTTCCTCCACCTATCCTCCTTTTAGCCCTCCCGACCTAAACCCCCCCCCGACCCCACCTCACACCTCCATGCCCCTATGCCCTCATGATATAGTCATATGTATTAATGGGACTTTCCTTCACGGCAAATTGGAAGCCCTGAGTGCCGCGCTACCCAGCTCGCTTCAGTTTGTGTCGCTTAGTGACAACTGCCAGACGTTTGCGTCTTCAGCCAGTTAACCTTCATCTGCAAGAGGAGTGGGTGGTGCTGGACCACCTGGATCATCAGAGGCAATGTCTGAAAAGAGAAAACAATCCCAAATGACCACCCCACCACCTCCACCATCCAGAGAAGGGAGGGGAAAGAGGACATGCCGATGTCCTTGCCACAGACCTCCTGCCTCATACAGACTGGAGAGTTGAGTTTGTCCGTCTGCCTTCGGTCAGACAGACGTCGGGACTTCTCCCTCTTCTTCTCTCCTCCATCTAAGAGTCTCACCGCTCTGTCATTTGCCTCTGGTAAGAGGCTGTGGACCATTCAGCCAGTTATAGCCACCACAAAAGAAAATAACAGAAAAAAAGAGCTGTCAAGTATACAAAATGTCAAGTATAATCGCTGAAGTGATGAGTGTTCCAGACAAACAGTATATTTAGGTTTAATTTGAAGACGAAGTCATTAGGTGTTTATCTAAAAAGACATTCATTTATTTATGCACTATATCTACTTGCCAAAATGAGATGGACTTTCATGTGGTCTTATTTTTTTATAGCCAAAACACAAGGAGGAAATGGCTTCTGATTTAGATTGAGGATAAACCATGAGAGGACGAGGAGACACTCAGAAACTGAATGCAGATTCATTTTGTGCAGCGCCTAATTACAGATTAAAGCTTTTAAAAGACGTCCACTGCGGATTATGGTAATGACACGATGATAATCGCATTTCTTGAAGTATTTTTTTCTCATATTTACAATTTAAGGCTAGTGCTATCTGGCTGACACCGTAATGACAGCTGTTAAATATGAATCAGTATTCGGTGACTGCAGATTTGGAGCATCGTTGATGTGCGTTATTCTCAATCGACCATTCTGACCTCTGGTTTGGGACTGATGTTTAAAAAAAGAATCCCTGTGCTCTCTGACAGGAAAGCTCACCTCTGCCAATCCTCATGAGGCATCTCCAGTAACCTCTACTAACGCTCCTGATCACAATTTGTATATGTGCTTCACTTCTGGTCATAGAACATACACACCAAGATCTCAGCCTCATGACCGTCTCCTAATAGTACTGGATGGGCTTTTTCTTTTATTTGGGGGCTTCTAGTACCTTTGAATGATGCTGTTCAAACTTCAAAACCATTCGCTGCTGGGGGATTGGGGCTTATCAACATTTCCAACAAAAGTGCAAAAGAGGCAACTAAATATGGTGATCACGTACAGTAGTAGTCTGGTTGTAATCCATCGCAGTTCATCATTTGATCATTACGATGTTTAGGAGCCGTTCTGTTTCATAGTGCCTTGATGCACTTTGTTTTGGACCACATTGGCTGTATAAGAGTAGAGCCACTGTATAGTACCTTTATAAAGCAGCCACCTTTGAGGAGCCTGTGAGACTGAATCTGTCGGCTATAGAAATAGCTTCACACAGAGCCATCGCACTGATCGGCTCTCGCTTAATGTATTTGTCGTCACGACTGTGGTTGCTCCAGAGCCACCCGACTGCCATCATATGGGGTTACTATACCGTTCCTTTACAAAGCCATGTATAGAGCTATGATACACTATCCATATACAGCAACTTAACTGGCCATAGAGCATTTTTAGGGCCACCTGACTGCTATAGTTCTGCCTGAATCGTATGTGTTTGTGTGTGGATGTGTGCGCGAGTGTTAGTTTGCGTTAAAACCCCTCAAAGGGAATGTCTTTAAAATGAGAAGTGGAGTGTATGAGGGACGACAGTTGTGGTAGCATAGCTGTTTTTTCCTGTTCCTGTATCGCAACGGACAAAACCCAGTGTTGTTGTGGAGAAAAAAAAAGTGATTTTACTGAAACAAACAGAATCTATCTTTAACCATCAGTCTGCCTAAATGTTAATCTAAGAGAGCAGAGGTATCCAAAAGAATGTGTAGTTCATCAGTGTTTTCTGCTTCAAATGCAACATAGTTAACAAAGCCTCTCTAAATGCCTTAGTGTTACACAGTACGGAGCTCTGATACGTTTCCCTCCCTCATGTTCACTCACGCACACAAACAAATAGATCCTCCAAAATATTCACTCCCTGGGTTTTCTTGGTGTTCTGCAGTAAGTATAGTGAGCTCTAATTTTGTATTTTTGCGTCTTGAAACGGTTCGTTATTGATTGATGCCTGATTGATGTTTTGATTAAATGCTTGAAAGCCAAGTGGGAGTTTTAAATTTCAAAAAGCCTCCGACCTTCAATGTTCACACCCAAACCTCACTGTATTGCTCCGGAGGGACGACTCGCGCTACAATTTGAACCTTAACTACTCACTCTGTACAGTTGTTGGTACTATTTGATGTGACAAACATGCTGGCACAGTAACTGCAGTGCGGCTCCGAACAAATCTGACTCAGAGAAACAAAAGACCGTTCGAAAATTGAAATGAAAAAAATGTCCAATTTGGCTCCTTTCAGTGTTCAGTACCTATCATCTGATGCCGGATGCAGTTTTACTTTTCTGGCATTTGTTTGTCTCTGTCCTGTGCCATTTAATTCTGTCTGTATTTCCCCATTTCCACTGTCTGTAAATGAGTGCTACATGTGCCTGTGGAAATGTACCCCCTGCAACTTCCTCTCTTTACCTGGTTCTGTACGCTTACAGTCCTCACACACAAACTAAGTATGTAGGCCTACAGTTTGTTTTGCACCGCAACATTATGCACAACACACCTAACAGCGAACATGTAATGACACTTAGTCACGCCCAGCTGGGAGATGTCAATCACCAGGCAGAAGTAAGCCAAGGATGTCACTTCCCAGGTGTTTTTTTGGTGAGCGGGTGGGAATGTCAGAGGCAAGCTCAGGGAGTGGGTCTCCACAGAGCAGCACGGTCCCGTCGAACAGCAGGTCATGGAGGAATCATGTTGTGACGTCTGTGTGCGCATCCCGACAGAAAAAAAATAAGTCGTCTGAAGGGACCACACGTCTGATTTCTGTGGTTTGACAAATTTACTTTTGCCAAAAAAAAAAAAAAATGAAAAAAAAATAATTGAGAATTGGACCAGCTTGGGAATGATGAGAGGGAGGGGTCAGCTTTAGGACAGGACCCTGGAATAAGTATGGGGTGGTTTTCATAAAGCCTCTCGCCCCCTCCCGACCCTCGCTGCATCTGTGTTGGTGCGTCTCTGTGGGAAAGATACGTGCGTATGTGATTCTGTAGTCTGTAGTCTGGTGCTATGTGACCATGTTTGACAAGTGTGTTTAAAAAATAACAGCAACATTTAGAGAAGGAAAAAAAGTGTAAAATCAGTCGAATTTTCAGTGAAGTTATAAAAAATATAGGAATACAGCACTGTTGATAAGTTTAAGATCTGAAGTCAAAATGTTAATTTTTTTTTTTCTTGTGTGAGTGTGAATGTCTGTGTGCTTGGAAGATTTAGCTCCTTCTTTTCTGGACACTGGTCCATGTCGCTCCATTCTTTTGTACAGATGAAGCTAAAAAAAAAAAGAAAAGAAGAAGAGGGCAAAATTTGTAAAATCTTGTGTCTGTGACTCCTTGTAAAATATTTTCAAATTGTTTATTACAGAGAATCAGTTATTAAATAATGTTCATATTTTTCACTTCATTTCAGCGTGTGGTGTTTTGTCTTTTTGTTGAGACAGGTCATTCATTAAAAATATAAAATCTATATGTAAATATTTTATTGCACCTTTACATTTAATTATAATACACAATAGCTTGTTAGATTTCATGGTACAAAGGAAAAGTTAGATATCTCAAAAATACACTTATTAGCTTTCTTACCGAGACGAGACAATTAACACGACTCAAGTTCAGGGGAGTAATTTAGATTTCAAAGGAAGTGGAGACAGTCATGTGTACAGCTACAAATCCTCTAAAGGGCTTGAGTTTTTTCAGATACCCCTACCGGAGCAAAACACAACCATGTCTTTTCATAATCTGTCAAATCTAACTATATAATTGTAATTTTGAGACGTAAATAACCTTTTTAGTGACATTCTAGGAGCTGTAATCACCTTTTAGTAGGCTGCTCTGTGCCCTACATTATAACCAACTCTGAATTTTTTTACCAGGTTAAATATGTTTACAGCAGCATTTTATATGTTTTTTAGATTCCCACCAGCAGTCGGCTAAAACCGGAAACACGGAAACAGCTAGCCTTAAAAACACATGCTAGATAAAGCATTCATTACTGAGTGGGTTTTCGAGGTTCTGGTGGGTTTATTTTGTTACTGTTGGACAAAGCCCTTCATTTTGGAATTTAGGGCCAATAGACCTTGTTTACATAAAAGTATACCCTGTTTTTGAGTGAAAATACAATGAAACAATGAATTATTTTGACTTTATATTATTTTTTACTATTTGACTGATCACAGAGAGGTACATATCAAAGTTTAGTGAGGATGCTGTTCTTGAATCATTTGAATTTTTCTAATGGCAGCACATAATCACACCTGTTGTCCTCTGGGGTCAAAAATGACCCCGTCAGGTTTGACTGTTTATAAAGCATACAGTATAAATTATCACCCACCTCTGTGTTTCATCTCCTTAGTCAACTTTATTCCAAGTCATTACCTGACATATAAAACATGTCACCATTCATTTCTGCAACATTTAACCCTCTTGTTACCTTCAAATTTACTAACACCTGTTATCCTGGGGTCATTTTTGACCCCAGCAATTTGAACCTGCAGAGCATTATTGTAATTAAAATTGCTACCCAAGTTTATGTGTCAGGTACTTAGTTTTTTGTTGACTACCTAAATAGCCCTTTAAATAAAACAACCCCCCCCGACACCCAAACCCGTATACATCCAGAATCCCTGTTACGGGACTATGGAGAAATATGCAGATCACCATAAAATCTCACTGATTGACCTAAAATTGGAAAGAGATATTTTTTGGGTGTTTTAATGGCTTTACATAAAACTTTACATATCAACATGTTGAGTTTGTGTTTACCCAGTTGTCCTCATTAAATTAGGAAAAGTCATTCAATATTAAATCAAAAATATGATGTCTCATTTATTTAGAACATTTTGTGCTATCCTGGGGTCAAAAATGACCCCAGGACAACACAAGGGTTAAGCCAATTTCTCAAAATATCTTTGAAAGTTTTATTCCTGGTACTATTTAAAAAGTCAAAATTAGGTTGTGCAGGACGACGTGTGTGGGCTAAATTTCTCAAGAATGAATATTGTGTATTTTTGTGTGGCTCCTCTGAATCATTTATGTGACTGCTGTTGTTGAGTATCTCTCCACTGATGCACAGTGAGGAGCTTCACAGCGTATTTAGGAAGTCAGTGAGAGCTTTGTGCCAGGTGTCTGGGTCATCCAGGTAACAAGGGTGACCCGCTCCTTTCATCACCACCACGCTGTGATTGGCCAGACTGCTCAGGTTGTTCAGCGACCGTTCTCCGAGCTGAGCGTCCTGGTCGCCGTAAACGATCAGCGACGGGACCTGGAGGAGAGACGGGACACAAAAACACACGTGAAGGTAAGAGATCTTTCTGTTGAGTACTTTCCAGAGTCCTTTCCCTCCTTTTTAGTTAATCTGTTTGTTTTTTTTAGGTGGTCAAATCCGGAACTAAAGTCTGTAGTTGTCCTCTATTTTACCTCAAGTTAAAAACAACAACATTTGAACAGGTCTCATAAAAAGATAGAAGGCAAGCTTTTTATTTTTATTTGGTGTGACTAAAAACCAAAAGTATATAAAAGAGTAGTCGGGCAGACCTTGATATTAGCTTTTATCAGCTGCAGAGAAAGTATTCAGACCATTTCATTAAATAAAGTCACACAATACTTGGATATAAATACACTCCATTACAAAGTTAAACTCCTGCATTAAAGGGGCACTCCAAAGATTGAGTTATTCATTTACATAAAGTTGGGGGATTCGCATGACACAGATTAAACAAAGACTTGCGACCGAGTTACCCCCAAACAATCTGGGATTCACACTGACCTCTTGCTGTGATTGGTCAGCTGTGCTGAGGTGAGAAAGGAACCAAGTTCTCTAGCTTTTTCCTCCGTCTTGACACAACTGTTTCTGTCACTTTTTGTGTGAACAATTCAGTGCAACGCCTTGGATGTTTTCCAGGAGAAACTGTATGAAAATATGTGTCATTATCCCCATATTTTAGTTACTGTTGCATCTCCCTCTTCTCTAGGGCAACACGCTTTTCACCTCGCCTTCGAGTGTTGCTGTGTGTAGGAGATATTAAAACCTCCGCCTTCTGATGACATTCAACATCACATTCAAGGGGTTAAACCAAGATAACATCACCACGTCATCATGACGGTTGAAGTCACTCATGTCATTATGCAGACAGATGAGCGGTATACTATTAATTATTTTATAATTGCATTATAATTACTGATGCCTTAATGTTTAAAGGTAATTGAAAGTTGTATAATGTCAAGATGGAGCTAATTCGAACAACTTCATATTTTACAAGCTTATATTTTGTATGCAAAATCTCAACCTGCAAAGTAACTAGTAATTATAGTTCACCACTTGCTTTTCATCTACTTCATTTACACTACTGTATGTATTTAGTTATTTTTATTCAACATCTCACTTTGTTATAATGTCGCTGCTTTTCTGCTTCGCTATTTTCCCCAAATCACTGAACATTAAGCAGCCACGACGCTCTTATATACAGTGATTTCGAGGGGAACTACTTCTCAGTAACAAACACGTCTCCTTCCTGGATAATCTGCCTTTACTTGGTTTGCCATTTCAGAAATGTTTTTTATATTGTTGGGAACGGGATGAAAGCAAGTGTGAAAGTCACACCAGCTCTGCTGGAAAATGGGGTTGACATTCACGGTTGCTCAAGTTATCCTTAAAAGAGGAAATGAAGAGCGCAGAGGAGTATAAAGTAAAACCTTACACACAGACTGTACCTTTACACTCTGGTACTGCTCCGCTGTGAAGTTCTCGGTGCAGATGGGAGCCACGGGGATGTAGGCTCGTATCAGAGCCTGGTGCTGCAGGAGGAAGGGAAGGGAGTACATCCCACTGAGGGACGGGCTGATCACCACCACAGAGCTCAGGCTCAGCTGCTCACACACCTCTTTCAGGAAGCCTGCAGGGGCCAGCTGTCCAACCGCTGCCGGGGCCTCGGCTGACTTAGACCGGCCGAGTCCTGTGGACAGAGAAAGAGAGTGGACAGCAAACTAATGAAGGCGTAAGACAAGAAGAAGACGAGGGCTACAGGTTTTCAAATTTAACGGATACCAGAACATTTTGATCAGATGTCTTCAAACTGTGAGAGATGAGAAAAACTGCATGAGGCGAAGGGAGCAGGTTCATACCGGTGCTCTAAAAACCACAGCAAGTTGTTTGTTGTAGTTAGGCCACTGATTTGGCGTGCTTACTGACACTGTCGGCAGTTGTTGCTGCACCAGTGGCTTTGATAAACAGCTCATGGAGACAGTTAAGGAACCCATTGCGCCTGATTGCCTCCCTTTGCATCAAAGATAGCCCTCCATATGGGACGGCTTTCAGTGCCGTCAGACTCACCCGGTAGGTCGATGGCGACTGCACGGCATCCTGCTTTGGCCAGAGTCTCCAGAGTGCCAATGTTGAGCCAGTTTTCTGATGAGAAACGGATGCCGTGAAGGAGTAAAATGGACATCCTCACTTCCCCTTCAGTAGGTTCACTCTGTCTGTAGAACAGCGGCGCTTTGCAGCCCTCTACCTGCACACTCCCCTCTGTCATCTTAACAGCTGACATCCTGAACAGAAAAGCAGTCGTTTAACTTCACACTGTTACTGGTACACACTATTATTATGTTGTGGTAAAGTAAAAGAATAAGTTAAGCATCAAAATATACTCCAAAATACGAGTAAAAGTAAGAATACTCATTATGCAGAATGATCCATTTCAGAATCATATCTTATTATTGGATTATAACTCTGGATGCATTAATGTGTTGGCGTAACTGGTGAAGCTGGTAAGGCTGTTTTTAATTACTCTATATACTGCTGGGTATTTAAATCTATAACATTACATACTAATTAATGAGTTGATTATTTTGTGATAATAGTTTGAATCAGCAAAGCGGTCAGATAAATGTAGAGGAGTACTTGTATAAAACAGCATAAAATGGAATCCCTCAAGTAAAGTACAAGTACCTCAACATTGGACAGCAGTTGAGTAAATGTACTTAGTTAAACTCCACCAGTGGTTGTGATAGGTCTTCATAGGGAAATTAGCATTGCTAACAAATACTTTACATTAATAAACACTTGAAATTGTCCTTATGGCTGCGTACAACCACATTTAAGTGGGCAATAAACCTTTTTTGAATGCTAAATAGGGGCTTTAATAGTAAAAGTTAACCTGTTGAATGTGTAAACAAGTACATCACTCTGACATGTAATGCAGTACAAAACATAAAGTAGCATAAATTGGAAATACATACAAGTACCTCAATTAAGTACTAAGACTGTACTAACTACTATGCATTATCATATACAAGCAGAGTTCCTAAAGAAAAGCATCAGTTGAGCTGCTAACATTAACACACCAGACGACGTTTTTACTTCAGTTCTCTGCCACAGTTTCAACAAGTTCCACTTTGTAACTTTCTCCACAGAAACATTGATCGCATCGGACTGCACTGCTTGTTGTCCGCTGCAGTTAACTGATGTTGTGTCCAGTTCAGACGAGACGAAGAGTTTGTGGACAGCTGGCAGGTTAAACAGTCCGATCAAAGTCCAGATTAGATCATTTGATTTGTAATATCGAGCTCGCGCTCAGCACTTCATCTAAAACACGATGAGAAAATAATCCGCCTTTTTTTTTTTTTTTTTTACCTGACGGCCTCCAGTAGTGAACCGACGATTATCCTGCAAAGTCAAGCTGTAAGCAGCTGCGGTTTCACCTCATTTCCCGGAAAACAGGAAGAAAAACAAAACCCACTGGAAGATTATTCTACTGACGCCTACTGTTTGATACGAGAATTGCTTTTGATCTGACAGCAATTTAAAAAAGTATATTTCTTCTGTATTTTTTCCGTAAAATATTTGGTTTAATCGTTTGCATTGCTGTCAGAGTGAAATCAGTTGAGTAGCATGAAAAGAAGAACATGAACAAGGACTGATGTGCCGCTCGTCATCAATGATTAATACGCAGTATTGATCTGTGTTTGGGAAATTAGGGCCTCTGTTTGTGTAAGAGTCCAGTGTGGGTGGTTGTGTGTTAAGTCAATAGTATGTTTTCTGCGTGGATTTCTAACATCCTCCTGGAGTTTTTTGGGGGATTTCTTTTTTCAGCGTCAAACCGACCTGTGATCGGATTTGTAATCCTTAACTAGGACTTCATAGCAGAGACCTCTGACTTCCATCCAGTGTTATAAAGCTCTTTACCGTCCGCAGACCACAAACAATGAAACTGTTGCTGTCCTTTATTCTCCTGACTGTCCGACTGGCTGCTGGTAAGAACGTGTTATGATCCTCAATGTCTTCAGTTATAAATGACTCATATTAATTGTCTGTGTTGTTATGAAGAGTTAAAATGTTTATGAAGAAATATTTAACAAAACAAACAAAAACTAAAAAAGTCGTCCCATATTTGTAGTTGAATATTTTTGAAAGTACCAGGATTATTATGTAATAAATCTGAAGGAATGTCAGTGGTGGAGGACGCATTTAGATATTTTACTTTAGTAAAAGTGTCAACACCACTCTTTGAAAACATTCCACTGCAAGTAAAAGTCCTGCATTTTATTATCCTGCCCTGATGAGTATTATCAGCAGAATATATCTAAAGTAGTTTCAGAAGTAAAAGTACTCATTCTGCAGTAAAATGGTCCCTGTCATTGTTTTAATTTTAAATGTTATGTTTTGGTATTAATATTGCTGATCATGAAAGTTTTTGTTGCAGTAAACTGCAGATGTTTAACTCCTTTGTATACTGTTGGGGAGGTTAATCTACAGCAATGCATCACATTCTATCAGATGATCATGTTTGTAGCATCGCTGTCCTGTGTGAACCACTATCCCTAAAAAGTCAACTTTCAGGAAAAAACTGTTTTGTGACGATGCCTTTTCCACCTGATCCAAGATGCTTTTCATATATTTGATTTAACTTCAGAAGTAGGAGGATTTGCTCATCACATAAAGGAACAATTCATCCTTCAGATTATCGGAAAAAGTAACTTCAGCTGTCACACAAATGTAGTGAAATAAAAGATAAAAGTACAATATCTGCCTCCCAGATGTTGTGGAGTAGAAATATAAAGTAACATAAAACAGAAATACTCCAGCAAAGTACAAGTACCTCATATTTGTATTTAAGTAGAGTGCTTGAGTAAATGTACACAGTTAAAGTTCACTTCTGTAAATTACTCATATAGGTATATAGGTATATCTGTGTTGTTATGAGGAGTCTAACTTTCTTATTTTATATATTATATTATATTATATATATAGAGCGAGGACCAGTTTAGTAACTATCGCCGTGTGAGGGTTGGTAAACTAATGTGGAAACTACAAAAGTAAAAACCAGTTATTTTCAATCTTGTGTATTTTGTGAGTAGTAGGATTATTTTGTTATACATTTTAGCACTGCATGAATGTATACCAGTATAAGTAGTAATATTGGTGGTTGTCGGTTATAGTAACAATGGTGTACTGATTTGCTGTTTAAAACTTGTTCTGGTCTCCGGTCTCACAAACTCTTGGTCCAAAGGTTATATGTATGCAGGCTCGTGCCCAAATGTTGCAGCTGGTACCAATGAGCAGCTGCACTCTAGTTCAAACCTGGACTCAATAGATCGAGATACAGTCCTGCCAACACGTTTTATTTAGTTGTATTGTTCTGTTGTGCATAAACAGGCTACCGAAGTCCCCTGAATGACTTCCAGCGCTCAGAGGGCAGAGAGCTGGTTCCCACCTCCTGGAACTCAGCTCGAGTGTTGTTGTTACCGGGTCTGAACCTGGAGGACTGCGCCACTCGCTGCTCTCAGTCTCTGGACTGCAGGTATCCAACCTCTACTTTAACACAGCAGGTTGTATGCACTACTGGTCAACCTTGTTCTTTCCAGCAAGGCCATAATTAGAAATATGACTTCATTATTTAAAGCATTCAGGTTGTGTTCGACCTGTAAACTTGATGGCTCACTGTGAAGTGAATTAAAGTCTTAATAAGGTAGCTCATGTAAAATGAATCTATTAATTATTAACTTCATCTACAATGTATTAAATAGGATAATTGTGGTCTTTTACAACCTGTCTTGTTTTCATCGGTTAGGATGAGTTTGTATTGGTCAGAAAGTCAGACAGGTTATCAACAAACCATTAGACAGGTCATCTAAACTATTGTATTGGCATTGGGTTTTCAATGGATGTTGTTATTTCTGACAGAAATGATGGCCAACACTGTAACAATGTGAGCCAAGTTGTAATAAGCCAGAATTTTGTCCAGTAAAATTTCGGTTCACACATTATTAGCAACCCAACAGATCTTTTTATTTAATTTATATAATGGCCTATTGGTGATCCATTCCTGAGCATTAAGAAAGGGATTTTTAGTAAATTATAAACCCTTTAATTTATATACCTTGTTGTAAGTTTGTATTCCTCAATATCCCTCAACACCAGAGCGTTTAACTACGAGACACGTCCAATTGTTTCCTGTAAACATCTGCCCTGGGTGGGCGACGGGAGCAACGCAGAGGTGAAGAGGAACGTAAACTGTGACCTTTATGAGAAGAAAGGTAAGACTCAATGTGTGATGTTACAGAGATCGATGTGACGGATCAGTGCTGGAGTTGTTTGATTGGTTCGTTTCTATTATGAAGTCTATGTCAGAAAGTGCATCGTGGGTAAAGGAGAAGACTACCGAGGGAAAGTCTTCACCACAAGAAGCGGGCTCACCTGCCAACAGTGGTGGTCCAAGTTTCCTCATGATCACAGGTGAGACGTTCCTCTGATGAATCTTAGTAGAGGCTGCAGTCTTTGATGCAGTGTAATCAGGCACATCAGGTTTAAAGTGGCAGGACATCCATATTGGCTGAACAGTGAAGGACTCGTAGCCTTTTTTTAAAGATAATCATCAAATATACAGACAAGCCAAACAGTTAAATGTTTCCAGTCCAACCAAAATCCAACTGTTGGTGTGTTTCACTTGTTAAAACTAGAAATCCTACCAGACGGTTGTCTGCCTCCACCAACCAGTCATGTTGCAGTTTACATCACTTCATCATTTTATCCCATTAGCCATTTGTATGAAAGTGTTTAATTAGCATATCAATTCTAGAGTTATGGCCAAAGACGTGTTTTTTGAGGTCACTGTGATCTTGATCACCAAAATCTAATCACTGCAGCTTTCAGAGTCCAGGTGGATGTTTGTGCCTAATTTGAAGAAATTCACTCAAGGTGTTCCCGGGAACGATGGACAGACGGACAGAGGGCCTAAAAAGTACTAAAAGCAAAATAAAAAAAACCAAAACAATCAGGCAGTGAAGCTGTCTGCAGTACAGGCCTGTCAGAGAAGACGCTACTGTCTGTTATTGTTTATAGGTGGAAGATTTCAGGCTGTCATTGACAAAATAGTAAATATGACAACTTAGTTTAAAGCTCTACTAATCAAAGTTTTTCATATAAACACCTGATTTAAATGAATGCATGTGAAAGAAAGGGTGACCTGACTCTGCAGTTCCCCTAAGCTCTTCAGCGCTTTCAGTCTCTTTTAACGCATTGTTTTCGTTTTTTTGGCCCAAATACTCTACTCTAATCTACCTCGTTTCTAATAGTAGATGGCAGCTGTTTTGAATTTTTCTGCTGCCACGTTAAACAAATATATAGCTTTAAGTTCATATTCATTTCTCCAATTGCTTACTGTCCTCTAAAATTGTGACTGTGTATAAAAAGAGCTCCCACTCTATTGATCTTACGTGGTTGTTAAAACCCTCAAATTAAAGCTGCGAGTCGTCAAAGAAACATGTTACATTTCCAATCCAATGTTCATAAAAGAAACGAATGTGACACTACAACATTTTGACTGCACTGCGTGCTAACTGAAGCCGTCCCCCACTCACTGTGAAACTCTCTGTTCGTCTCAGGTGGACTCCCACAGCTACCAACGGTCTGGAGTTGAACTACTGCAGGAATCCAGACGGGGACCGGATCGGTCCGTGGTGCTACACCACCGACCCTGAGCGCCGTTATGAAAGCTGCAACATCCCCCAGTGCAAAGATGGTACAGCCCATATATTTAGTGTGAAGGGAAATGCTTCATTTGCGGGTCTTGACATTTCCCAATCATTTTTCTAGAAAGTGTCTTGTTGCTAATAAGAGGGGAATACTAATTAATTAGATTTTTTAAAGAAAGATGAAGAAAATGTAGTTTCATCTTATTACTTAATTACAGTAATTACAGGAAAACTGACAAATTCATTTAAACCTAAGGAAATACTCACATTCTTCTTAACTCCCTTTGCTAATTTATATGTTTTCCTGTAATTTTCAGCTACACAGAAAATCTAATTTTTAACTTCTGACTTTTGTTTTCAGAGGTATGCATCACATGTAATGGAGAGGACTACCGAGGGCAGGTTGACCACACTGTGAATGGCAGAGAGTGTCAGAGATGGGACCAGCAGTACCCTCACCAACACATCTACCAGCCTGAAAAGTACTCCGTATTTACACTACATTGCCAAATTAATTGATCATATAAATGTGTGTGTTCTAAACAGTTTCAGTCCTTTGTTTTGTTATTTTGGACAGAAAAAAAAACGTGTGTATTTTTCAGATACCCTGATAAGAGTTTAGATGACAACTACTGCCGTAACCC